AAAATTTGTAGTTTCTTTAAAACAAAACGAAAATACGTTTTCTATTTTGGGTTTTTCTGCTGTTTTTCAACACTCTCTAATGGTGTAAACAAATGTAGAGAAAAAAAATGGTTGACCTTGAAAAATTAAATTAAAAAATAAAATTTCATTTTTTCATTAAATGGACAGTTTTTATTTTTTAAAAAAAATTTTTATCATAAAGGTGAGGTTTTTTTCTAAAAAAAATGTATAGGTCAAAACGTGGGACAAGAACTTTTAACTGGTCAAAATAAACATTTACTTCTGCAATCCACCGCCCCTGCTCGTTGTTGGGCTATATATTGTTTATAACAATTGAAATAAATTATTTTATGCTTTATTAATTATCTGGTGGTCATATTGGATGAATTTAAATTGATTTAGATCATGTGCATCAACGAAATAAGAAAATAAACCTCCTTTTTTTAAAAAGTGTATTAATTTGTTAACTTTGATTTAAAAAAAAATTATAAATAATTAAAATCTCCAGCTTTGATTTAATGACTCCAGATTTTTTTCGTAGTAACTACATGCTATTTTGTATGAGAAAATGATAAAAGAATTTGTTTGTTTGTTGAATTATTGGAAAGAGATTTTGACACTTTTCTGCATGCATTTTTTGCAGATTTTTTTGTATTATATTTTCTAAATAAAATAATTATAAATTATGCTTAATTTTCAAGTAAGTTGTTATGGATATTTTTGTAAAAATGTCGTACCTAATCTGGTATTCGAGTTTTGCACTGATACGTGGGTAGAATTTTCAACAGTCAATCCTTCGTTGACAACTTCATTATGAGTTTCAGTATTAGATAGAATTTCGCTGTAAAAGAATTTATAAATAATTTTAGTCATTATCTGTTTAATAAGGAGAGTATTATAATAATTAAAATATTATAATATTTTAATTAAAATTTGTTTAAATAGCTTTAGTAAAGATATATCCTTACTCAGCGCTTGCGTTTTCAATAAAGTTTATTAAATAATAATGTCGAAACTAAACAGTTTCATTTCTGGAATATTGAGCTCGTAGATTTTTCCACCGCCTCTTCAATGCGGGACCGGAAGATCTTAACAATTGAAAATAATTTTAAGAACTAAATTTTTTACAAACTTTATTTCAAAAGAAGAAAATATTGTTCTTTGAAAATTATACTAAATAGATAAGTATTACTTTGCCAGGGAATAAATTAGCAATTTCTTTCCAAATTCTTTCTCTTTCTTCTGGTGTTTCATTATACCTTTCGGAACGATCAAATCATTTTGGCCGCTTGCTAACTTTATTAATTAATCTGACTTCTTCGAACCATTCTCTTTTACTTTTGGTTAATGAAGTTAAAACAATTATAAGATACGATTTATGTGTATATATTATTAAAATCATATTAACTTGAAATTAAATTACTATATATACAAACTGAAACTGACGAGCCCATCTTCGCCTATCACAAGGCAATAAGTTTCCTCGTCTATGTTTATGAATCACTTTGCATTTTGCACTTTACACTCATCATGGGACTTCACCCTTAAAAACCATTCAACATTAGGTTAGAAAACAAACAATCTTAGGTTAAAAGTCCAAAGGAAAGCATACTTTAATACACTTCTCTGCTAAAAGAACCTCAAATAAAACTTTCCTTTTAATAAAACGTCAATGGATATGTAATAATTTAAAAAAAGTGAAGTTTGAAAAAATCTGAGTTAAGCCGTTTTCGAAATTGACGATTTAAATGATTTTTTATTTTCTGGATAAAGTTTTCTATTCTGTTTTCTATTTTCATGTTAATACTAAATTTTCCCTCGAAATTAATAAAACAGCAAACAATATTTCTTCTCCATAATTGTTCTTCCTCTTTTACAACTGGAAGGTATGTAGAACCTTCATCTGCGTTTATAAACTAGAAAAATTTGCAAGCAATAGACATTTGCTTACATTTTTTGCGTCCAAACCTAAAAAGTTGGGTTTTTTATGATTATATTTTGGGATAGTTACGGAAATTCATTTTATTTGAATATAGGAGCTGGGGCAATTTCACAGTTTGGAATTTAGGAAAATATGAGCTTAATCCTACAAGTTTTCGTTAACCGAAGTCGGATCCATTTTTCTATAGCTTTACGGCGCTTGAGGAGGGGTGTGACTACGAACCTTCAAGGCGACGGCTTTCCTCGTCTCGGGAATTCATTTCACACCTTTTGCGATTTAGAAAAACAAATCCGAACCTTTATTTCTACACGGCTTCGACCATACTGTTAAACTCGATGTAGTTGACAGGTGAGGTTGGTAAGCTGCGGCCCACTTCGCTTGGACAACAGGCCCGCGACGGAAACTCCATAGTACCAATATCCGCCGCGGCGCTAATAGTCCCTGCCTACCGTCTTGCGTTTCCAAATTCTCTAGGAGGGCGTGCCCCAGGTGACTTGTGCACGTCTCCTACATCCTGAAGACGATGCCAGTTGAGCCTCAGTTCCTGACCTTTGATCTCAAGAGAGGGTGACACACCATGTTAACAATGTGTGCACCCCTCTCATGTAAACGGGCCCTTAGAAATGGTGTGATGGTCCCTTTATCGATTAGCGACCATCTTCCGTCAATACCAACTTCACTTCGCTCGATTCCAACCTGTCGCCTGCTATTGTTGATTTGTTTTGACACCTCCTAGATCTCGTCGTTGTTCTCCAGGAGACTAACAAGTAAAACTACCCAAGTGTTAGATGCCGAATTTATTGAAACTTTTCATACGTCAAGAGGGATAAAAAATAAGATATACGTGTTTTTTTATATCGGCGGTAACTGACTTTAAAGGGTAGAAACTACCCTTTTAATTTTAAGGGATGAAAATTTAATAGTTATCTTAAAATTGCTTAAATTCGATGGAAACTGGTTACTCGGGGGTTTTTGGGGTCGCTGATTACGAATTCGATGTCAGTTTTTCAAAATTCAAAATGGCGGTTCCAAAATGGCGAACGAGATTTCTAAAAATTGCTTAAATTCGCTGAAAACTGGTCACTCGGGGGTTTTTGGGGTCGCTGATTACAAATTCGATGTCAGTTTTCAAAATTAAAAATGTCGGATCCATTATGGTGGACGAGATTACTAAAAATTGCAGGATTCGCCGGAAACTGAAAACTCGAGAGTTTCCATCAAATTTAAGCAATTTTAAGATAACTATTGATTTTACATCCCTTAACGCCCAAATGGACAAAATTTTGGCATGAAGTTTGAGGACTTATTTCGGTACTTAAAAATCCATAGAAAAATTCACGAATCATCATTTCTTATGTTTTCATATGCGCTCTATCGAATGGAATTAAAAAAAAAGTCAAAAATTTATAAACAAAAAAGTTATTAATGTTTTTTATAAAAAAAGTCCGACTTTTTTCCAATTTTTGTTTAATTTTCAATTTTTTCTACTATGAAATAGCGGAAAAATAATTCCAAATGTAACAAATAACGTGATATAGATATATAACCTAGAAGATAGGACTAAAGAGAAAATTAAAAATTAAAATGGCGGCTTAAAAATGGAGTTTGAAGTTCAAATTTTTTTCAAACTTTGATTCGAAAGTACGCAATTGTTAAAAGTGTTTAGATTAGCATGAAATTTGTTACTCGGGGGTTTTAGGGGTCGCTGATCACGAATCTGAAGTCCGATTTTAAAAATTCAAAATGGCGGATCCAATATGGCGGACAATTTTTTTAAAAACTTATTAAATTTGCTTGAAACTTGTTATTCAGGGGTTTTTGGGGTCGCTGATTATGAATCTGAAATCCAATTTTAAAAATTCAAAATGGCGGATCGAATATAGCCGCCAAATTTTCATAAACTGATTAGATTAGCTTGAAATTTGTTACTCGGGGGTTTTAGGGGTCGCTGATCACGAATCTGGAGTCCAATTTTCAAAATTCGAAATAGCGGATCCAATATGGCGGACAATTTTTCTAAAAAATCATAAGATTCGCTTGAAACTTGTTACTCGAAGGTTTTTGGAGTCGCTGATTATGATTATAATGTCCAATTTTTTAAATTAATCATGGCCGCTCCAATATGACAGACAAATTTTCAGTTGAAATTCGATAATCACGTTCTTTAGACATTAAAATACTTAAAATATTTATAATGTTTTCCAACTTTCACCACGTGGAGGTAAACGTGAACTGAAAAGTCTTTTTTTTATTTTTAAAATAAATTATGTCTTTTTTTAAAATATATTTTTTTAGAATTAATATATTGATAAGTAAAATTAATCGAATTAAAACTGTGAATAATGATTTTTTAAAGGTTTTACAAGAGCTGCAAGCTGGAGATAAAAAAATTGTTTTTTTCAATTTGACCTTGAAATAAGTAATGATTAATATAAAACATATACATTTCCATTTTTTGACCTTTTAATTCAAAAATTATAATAACAAATAAAAAGAAGAAAAATACATAAAAAATGAAAAAACAAAAATAACCAAAAATAAAAAAGTAAAAAAATATAAAATTTAAAAATAAAAAGAAAGACTTTCCAGATCACGTTTACCTCCACGTGGTGAAAGTTGGAAAACATTAAAAATATTTTAAGTATTTTAATGGCTAAAGAACGTGATTATCGAATTTCAACTGAAAATTCGTCTGTCATATAGGAGCGGCCATGTTCAATTTTAAAAATTAGACATTACATTCGTAATCAGCGACACCAAAAACCCTCTAGTAACAAGTTTCAAGCGAATCTAATGATTTTTTAGAAAAATTGTCCGCCATATTGGATCCACCATTTCGAATTTTGAAAATTGGACTCCAGATTCGTGATCAGCGACCCCTAAAACCCCCGAGTAACAAATTTCAAGCTAATCTAATCTAATCAAAATTTTGTTCATTTGGGCGTTAAAGGGTTAAAATTAAAAGGGTAGTTTCTACCCTTTAAAGTCAGTTACCGCAGATATAAAAAAACACGTATATCTTATTTTTATCTCTCTGGACGTATGAAAAGTTTCAATAAATTCGGCGTCTGACACTTGGGTAGTTTTACTTGTAAGATGAATGCCCAGTTTCCATGGTCCACTCCATTGTCGTTACAAATACTGTGCTGTGTTTTATTTGTAATTTTTTGTTATTAACAAAATACAAAAAAATGAATTATTACAGGAAACAAATTGATGAATATAAACAAAACTCATCTCAATTTTTATCGTCGATAATAACAAGTCAACGAAGTTATGAAAATAAATTATAAAGTTAATTATAATTCTCGTCGTTGATAGAAAATTGGAGCCTGGTGGAAGCCATATTTATTGGAAATTTACTACGTTTGTGGAAACAGTCTCGGCAAGATTCTTGGTTTTATTTGCAGCAACGTGATTATATTGAAAACCACGTTACATACTTAAAGACTCGAAACTTGTTTCTGTTTTGTCAACAGCAGCAGGTATAAGTCCTCTTATTGTTAGTTCTGTTAAAAGGTATAATAAGGAAGAAAAATTCAGTCAGAGAAGCAGGCGCAATGCGCCTTCATCATAGGGTTTCGTGGCCTAAAATGTTGTCTTAATACATAAGACATAATACTTAATACATAAGACTTAAAACTTAAGAATTAAGACATAAGACTTAATACATAAGACTTAAAACTTAAGAATTAAGACATAAGACTTAATACATAAGACTTAAAACTTAAGACTTAAGAACTTCTTATACCAAAGTCTCGCTATAAGACTTAATACATAAGACTTAAAACATAAGACGTAAGAACTACGGACGGACACCGAAGTCTCGCCCTAAGGGTTTTAGCCCTTGGCTGCGAAACCCTAAAAAGAAGACTGACGTTCCTTTTCCACATGCTTTTAGTGCCTATAACAAATTCATGGGTGGTGTCGATATTCATGACGAATACTGCAGCAGAATAATGCCTATCATGACGAGGTCAAAAAATGGACATGGGTAATTTTTATTCGACTCATCCAGTCCGCAATTTTAAATGCTGTAATATTGTGGAATGATACAAATAAGGGCAAACAAAAAAGCAGCATTAAAAACTTTGCTATATCCATTTCCAAGGAGTATTTAAAACTTAAATTTAAAGCACCCCCATTCGAAAAAAAGGATTTATAAAAGTATTAATTAAATACAGCTTGTAAAATCAGAACAAGAAAAGTTTGTACGAGTTGATCTCAATACTTCTGTGATAAATGCTTTAAAAACTCAAACCAGTAAACCAAAATTAACAAAAAACAAAGCATAATATGTACGAAGTATATAAAATAATTTAATAAAAAAGTTTAAAAAAATTAAAAATACAAAAAAATTCGAAAAATAAAACACACAAAATTTTTTTTAAATATTTCAAAAAACACAAAAAATTTTTTAAAATATTTCAAAATACCTCCCCGTGGTGAGAATCGGGCAACATCAATTAGAAATAGGTGGCTGAAGACGGTATTCTAAAATAATTTAAATACTTTAAAGATCAAGAATAAATAGTGGTATCCGACCATTTTCCCGAAAACAATTTCCCGAACAGCAAAATTCCCGAATAGCCCTAGTTCCCGAATGACATATTTTCCCGAAGGCGAATTTCCCGAAGGTGAATTTCCCGAAGAGTATTGTTCACGCACCAGAAGACTTAAAATTTTTATAATGCAATGATGCACGCGGCTGCTCGTAAGTAATCCATAATTCGATGTTCATCTTTGTAAACTTGGAAGGTTCCGGCTATTGACTGTAGGCGAATTTTGAGAGTAATCCATTTCTTTTCCGGCTTATTTTTCACAGTCCTTCCCATAGATAATTCGAAGAGCATACTTTCCGTATCGGCCTGTTCTTTTTGAAATTCATGCAAGAGGGAATAGAGATCAGGAAGATATTTTCCTATTACCAGGCGGAACCGATTATGCCAACCTTCACTGGTGTTGTTTGTGCGATGAGAACCATTGATTGTTGCTTCATACTGATTCCAAATTGATATTGGATATCGAGGTAATATAGCTCTTCTTCTTCCTCGTCCCGGTTTTCCAAGAACATAATTTAATTCAAAATAGTCAAAAATGGGTGACAGTGCTTCAGGAATGGATTCTTTCAACAGAGAAAATGCAAATTTCACATCGTCGGGGGGTACATACGCTAAAGCCAGCATCATATGTGTGTACATTTTTACGTTTCTATTAGTAGCATCATTGTATTCCCTTTGTAGTCCTTCAAATTGGATTTGCCTGCAGACGGATTGACCCAAATGATAAAAACATGCTGAAATATGTACGTCGGGAAAAACATTTGAACTTGAATTTAATATTGCAAGCTCAAAGTCCGTTATAATTTTCCGAGGTTTACAATTTTCAATCCTATAATCATCAGCTGCTGAACGCACAGCTTCCAAAACGGCAGTATATTGCACCGATGATTTTGATGTTAATAAAGCATATATAAACGGGAAAGCCACATCAGCATGTGCATCATTGTCTCCGGGATTAGGATTAAGGTTTTTTGAGGTTCCAAGAATCGTGAATATTTGCGTAAATATTGTGGGTGACGTCTGTAGAAAAAATTAATAAAATAATGTAAAATAACAATGATAAAATATAATTATGTATTTAATTTTTTTTATTTAATGTTTTTACCTTAAAGGTACCATCCAGAAACCAGATGTCACTTCTAGCCAAAAATTCAAGATTTCGTCTCGTTCCAAAAACTAACACTCTGTCTTCAGTATTTCCTCCATTTCTTGAGTCATATATTCTTTCCGGCATTTGACTTAACACTTCTTGACGAACATTTGGTAATTGAGTGCGTAAAATTTGAGCAGCAGGGATTTCGGGGTTTTCTTCAGCTTTCCTTTTTAACCTAACATTTTATTTATTTAATTATTTAAAAATTTTATTTATTATTTTGATTTTATTTATTTATTATTTTAATTTTATTTATTTATTATTTTAATTTTATTTATTACCCTGTAGTGAGCACTTCTGCCTCACATGCCTCCCAATCTGGTACATCTGCATGATCGTCTACATTTGGACGCTTTGTAACAATAACCTTTTCTCCTATTTCTGTTTCCAACGTAATTGCTCTCACCTTGCACTCTCCCTTTCTTAATTTCTTGCAATCCCAGTAAACCTTTCCTTTAAGCGATCTCGACTTCAAAAATATAAATCCATCAAGAATTAATTTTGTTCCCAGATTTATTGGTTCGTTGGCTTCATCGAATGCATTCATTTTTATATTTACAAACACACAAAACAGTTGAGATAAATAAAAGAATTAAAAAACACTAAAATTTATTAACTAATTAAATTACCGAAAGAGTGGAGATAAATAAAAGATTTAAAAAACACTAAAATTTTGACTTGACAGTTTCAATAAATAATTGACTTCGATACTTGTCGTCACTTGTCGTTGCTATGCAATAATAAACAAAAGCGCATACACAAATTGACAATATTTATATTGTTCGGAAATTCGGGTTTCAGGCGATTAGGAAAATTCGCTTTCGTGAAAATCGATTCGATTGAATCCGCCATTTTGAATTTTGAAATTCAGATATCAAATTCGTAAACAGCGACCTCAAAAACCCCCGAGTAAGCATTTTCAAAAAAATTCGCTTTCTTTCAAAATTCTCGGTCGACATGTTGAATCCGCCATTTTGAATTTTGAATTTCGGATATCAAATTCGTAATCAGCGATCCTAAAAACCCCAGAGCACAGTGGGCCAGGATCTTCAAATTTTGGCCAAAAATACAATTTTTCAACTTTCAAATATGCAAAAAAGAATTTATCCACAGTATTTTATAGTAAATAAGGAATTTATTGCATGAAGGATTTGTTAAATAATAAAAAATTCTGTCTTCTAGAACTATTTAAAGTTTAACATTTAAGATAAAATAAGGAAATGTTTTTAATTAAAATACTTAATATATCTAGAAATAAATAATTTATTTTTGTATAAGTACTTATTTTTTCTCATCAACAGATATATTGAAGTAAAAAGCCTATAGTTACTTTAAAAAAATAAAATTTATTAAAATGTAGCTCCATTGAAGTTAACAAATAGTGGATTTTTCAATAGAGTGCGGACTTTCAGTTAGTAGAGCTCCTCCGAGCCGCATAATATTTGGAAAAACAAGTTATGGAACGATTACTTAGCATATCTACTTTGACGCCAATATGTGCCATTTTGCGCCTTTTCATATTTTTTCAACATAACAAAAATATTGCAATAAACATATAAATATATGCAATATCTATAAAGACACTTTTCAAAATTAATGAATTATAATAAACAGTGATATTTAACGGTTTTTTGTGTCGCTGATTACGAATCTGATGTCAGATTTCAAATATTCAAAATGGCGGATCTAATATGGCGGACATAAAAATTTTAAAATCAATCAATTTGTATTAAACATAGGTATCTATGGGTTTTTTGGGTCTCTGATTACGAATCTGATGTCAGATTTCAAAAAATCAAAATGGCGGTCATAAAATTTTTTAAATTAATCAATTTTAATGAAACATAGGTATGTAGAGGTTTTTCGGGTTGCTGATTGCGAATCTGTTGTCAGATTTTAAAAATGTAAAACTGAGCACTGTGTTTCTGAAATCACATTTAGATATAAAATAAAGTGATTACCTGATCCATTGAAATAAAAGCAGATTCTCCAATAGGACTACATGCGCACCTGATATACCCACGCGAAAAACTATATACCTAGAAGTAAACACCAGGTGTAAAAAAACCAAAAAAACTAAAAAAAATTTTAAAATCTAAAAAAATACAAAATGGGATCTTTACCTGTAACCTCCTCGTGGTAGATCCTGGAAACTACAGCTTACGTTTTATTTTTGTAGGCTAATCACAAGAAATTTTTTTTATTTTCTGAATTTTATAGACACTAGTTTTGTAATCAGCAAACTTAAAAACTCCCAAGCAACAAATTGTAGGCGAATCTCATTCAATCTAAAATCCACTTGAATTCTTATAAAAGATTCGTAATCAGCGACCTAAAAAACCCGTAGATACAGAGTTTCATAAAAATCGATTAATTTTAAAAATTGTATGTCCGCCATTTTGGATCCGCTATTTTAAATTTTTGAAATCTGACATCAGATTCGTAATCAACGACCCAAAAAACCCATAGATACCTATGTTTAATTCAAATTTATTGACTTTAAAATTTTATTTCCGCCATATTGGATCCGCCATTTTGAATTTTTGAAATCTGACTTCAGATTCGTAATCAGCGACCCCAAAAACTGTAGGTAGCATACTTGATATTTGTAAATATCTTGGCTTTTTTTAAATGATGATTTTTAGCTAAAAATCGACGATCCTGGCCCACTGTGCCGAGTAAGCATTTTCAGAAAAATCCGCAGACTTTTAAAATTTTCGGTCGCCATGGTGAATCCGCCATTTTTAATTTCTGACATCAAATTCGTAATCAGCGATCTCAAAAACCCCCAGGAAGCATTTTCAGATAAATCCACCAACTTTTAAATTTTTCGATCGCCATGTTGAATTCGCCATTTTGAATTTTTAATTTCTGACATCAAATTCGTAATCAGCGACCCTAATAACCCCCGAATAAGTAATTTTAACTTAATTGGACAAACTTTAGAAACTCAACACATTTAAATTACTTTATTATGGTTTTTTGAAATCTTTGACTCCATTTAAAAAAATAAAAATTTTGGAGGAAAGAGGAGACATTTCTTCATTGAAGTTTAACTATCAAGTGGTGGATGGCAAAAATAATTTATATTTTAATTTATTTAAATTACCTATATCATACGTGACATGTAATATATTTACGTACGACAGGTACGACGCACCTGACATCCCAGTAAGAAGTAAGGAATTGAGAAAAACTGAACATTTTTAACTTTTTACAGAAAATGTTAAGTTATCAATTTTTTTGAATTCCGTTTGTGTCCAATTTCTATGTATTCCTTCTTGAGGCAAAGATTTCTTGAAAGTGAATTCCAATTAATTCCGTTTTAATATTTCTTTAAATTTTGAATTTTTGTGAATTCCGAAATACTGTGTGATACTCAATAAGTTCAATTCCTGGCTATTCCGTTTTAATATTTTTTAATTTTATAATTCCTCTGAAGTTTGCAACATTTTAAGATAAGTGCTTCTAAAATTCGGTAGTCATAGTACAGTTTAAATAGCTGAGCGAACAAGCTGTTTGTCTCCGACAATGAAACTTGAGGGTTCAATTCTTCGAACCGACTAATTTTTTTCCCGCTTAAAATATTAAAACGGTATTCAAAAGAATAAACTTAGTTTCTTTTTGGCTTCTCCAAATGAAAATGAAAAAAATTGGTCAGAAACGAAATTCAAAAGAATTAAAAATTTCGAATTCTTATTAATTTCTTACTTCTTACTGGGATGTGACATTCATGTTCTTTTTTAAATAGAAATAATAAGAATTCGAAATTGAAAAAAGTGCTTCCTTAAGTTTCTTAAAAATTCATGTTCTTTTTTAAATAGGAAATTATCTCATTTTTAAATGAAATAAATTTAAATTAAAGAAAAATTCCAATGATTTTTATATTTATCAGTTTGTAAGTCAAAGTCAAACTTAGAAAGTAATATTTTATATTTATGCCAATTTTTCTATTTTCGCAAAAAGTTAAAATCTGATGGCCGAGACAGAACATTTTTAGAACGTTTTAAAGATGTATTTTGTCAAAGTCCAAAAGACGTCTTCAAAAAACATCCTTAGGACGTCTTCTGAACAAGTGTGCCCACGGGGATGTAGTTTTCCAAGGTATACGAAGAGAATTGTTTCCCTTGTCAGCGTCAGGTTAGAGCAAGGTTTGTACGATCTACCCTACAGTTGGAGTAGTCCTTTTAAAATTGTTGTTCCATATTTGCTACCTTGTAGTACAAATTTCTAAGTTTAATAAATAAACATTCGTCAGCAAGTGAAGGTTTAAAACCAATTTATCCATTAAACGTCTAACTATGACTCCATACTTTATGTTTTTTCAGAGGTTTGATGGGTAAATTTGTTCTTAACCTTTACTTGCTGACGAATGTTTATTTATTAATTTTTTTGACTCCCTGAAGAGGAAATTGGTTAGATTTCAAAATTGATTAAAAATTTTAACTAATACAAAACAAGAATTCAAATACTAAAATATCCAAGTATATTTGACATCTTACATGTTTCAAGCATCTTTTACAGTAACACTTAGCAACTGGTAGACACATACACATACTCTGCATGGATCGGGCCATGCAACGCAAAATTCAAAAACTAATTTATTACGAATATGAAAAAACACCTCTTTGTAATGTCCAGGAATTTTAAGGGCATTTACAAACTTTTGTATAAATATTTTTTGTGAGAAATTTTTTTTTTGTTTTCAAGAAAATAAACATTGAAAAATTAATGTTTAAATAAATTAATGAACAAAAAGAATGTTTGATTTTCCAATAAAATTGATGGTATATCGTGGTGGTGAGACTTTGTGGCTTGCGATCGTCGAGGTTAAGCAGACCTACTAACTCTGCGTTAGTACTTGGTGATCGCGCTTCGATTCTCCCTATAGTCCGGTGTTTACACACATTATGTGCATTGTCGAATATATTACGGTACACACCATTAGAACTCGACTGTCGATAAATCGGTTGTACTTAGGAGAGGTTTTCTACAGTTTCCCTCTTCTTTGTCGAGAAAACCCATTAGATGGGTGATCCAGGAAAATGCAAGTACTCCTAATTTTCAGGCATTCTGTAGGCGCAAAAATTAGTACCTATTAAGTTTGATAGAGAAAATTTGTAAGAGAAAATTATGAAATTTAAAAACACTTTTATAGCCAAGTATGTAAAGCTGAAGGTAGGTGTATAAACCAAATAAAAAAATATAATTATTTTCCAAAAAAATATTAAAAGTTAATAATTTCCCTACAATTTTTATATTAAACAATTTTTTCTAAAGATTATAGATTTCGAAAGAAAAATTGTCAAAAAAGTTTAAATAACAATATCTTGCAAAATAATTAAAATGTTGTAAAACTATTTTCAAAATTTATAAATGACCCCTAAAACAACAAAATGTCAAAGTATAAAGCAAATCTGAGATTCAAGGTTTTCTCTACTCACAGAACGCCCTACTACAACTTTTATTCGTTTAAAATAATGTTCATAAATCTTGAGTAGTTATATTTACTTGTTTCAGAGAAATTACCAAATTTCAGCTTGGGTATGTTATAAAATATTTATTTATTTGACACTCATTTATTACACGACGTGCGCATACAAGGGAGTGTAAGTTTTAGGATTTTGGGCTTGTTTCACGAAACTCAATTAAAAGTAAATCAATTATTAAAACCAGTTTAACGGCTCATGTTTGATTGAGGATTAAATCCTTGTTTAACTTTTAATCGGTATTGGTGAAAGTGTCCCTTAATCGCTTTTAAGTATGTGACTGGATATGACGTACCCAGATAAATACACGTCGAATTGTTTTTTTCTATAAATATAACAGAAGTTCTGATGATGAACAGAATAAATTATTATATATGCAAATTATTTACTAAAAAGATAGTAAACAATATTTATAAAATGTTATTAATCCTTTTTTGTTACAGATGAACTGGAAAACTTGGGAATTGGTATGATTCATTCTAACAATTGTCTCAGTTATTCACAATTTTTAAAGATTTATCAATAACTAATTAATTTAAATTCTTTAAAATGTTTCAGAATTTCAAGAATCAGATTTTGGTATAATGAGTTATCACTGTTAAACTTAAAAAATTCCCCATCAGGCACTAAGATATGAGATATCTTTAGGATACTCATGTTTGTTAGATGAACGTTTTAAACGCGTCTTCTTATTGTAAAATAGTTTCAGAACACAAACATTAAACAAATATAGTTTTCCTAAGGAGATCGTAACCACTCCTTATAGAAATCGCATATTCCAGAGTCCACTGTGGATTTAATAACCATATATGTTTCTTTGTTGCAGATAAATTAAAAGAATTCTTTCCTGGTATGTTAATTATTTTAATACAACTGACTCAAAACTTTAACGGATTTCAATTAAATTTAATAATAATTTTGTCTATAGAAATTTAATTAATCAAAACAATTAATACAACAGGAATATATTCATTGTTTTTTTAACTTTTGTAGATTCTGAAGAGTCAAGAAATGAAGGCACTTTAACCTCTTTGCAGGTTTCTATTTTCAATAGTGATGTATAATAATAGTCTAATTGGTCTGTAAAAAAGTGTTAATTAATTGTCAAAATCGATACTTGACTTTTGACTGGTGATTCATTTAGTATGAGATTGTAGAATGAATGTATCACAGTGGTTTTGAAACATTTCAAATACTTTTGACACATGCCCCTTCTAATTTTTGCATAAAATTTTTTCAAACCACCTACAAAATTGATTTTAATTTAAATTAAAATCGCGTACTGAGCCGATTTTTTTAAAACTTCCTTTAGGAGTTATGGAGGGGGAAGAAAAATAGAAAAATTTATTTTTTCGGAAAGTATTTAACCAATTTGAATTGAATTAAAATATGCTATAAATATAGACAAGACAATTTTAAAAAAAATTAATTTTGAAATTTTCAAAAAAAAATTTTTTAAAAGATTAAATCTATCGACAAAAGTTGATGAGTATCAAAATTTCTATATTCAAATTTGCGAATGCCTGTAAGATATTGCATATTAAATTTTATATCCAACAAAGTAGCGGAATATAGAAATTCTATATGTGACCTGGAATGTTAAAAGGGACCTTACGTCCAAAATCAAGTTTTCGAGAAAAACGTTCTTAAAGTTAACAAACCGATATTCATACTTCTGCATATTAAAATGGCTTGAAATTCGTTACTCGGGGGTTTTTGGGGTCGCTAATTACGAATCTGCTATCAGAATTCCAAAATTCAAAATGGCGGATCCAATATTGCGCCAAAAAAAATGTAAGAAGCAAATAGATTCGCTTGAAACAGTTTGCAAACTTATCAGATTTACTTGGTACATGTTGCTAGGAGGTTTTTGGGGTCGCTGATTACGAATCTAGCATCAAATTTTCAAAGTTTAAAATGGCGGATCCAATATGGCCAACAAAAATTTAAAAATTATCTAAATTTGCCTGAAATTCATTACGTAGGGGTTTTTGGGGTTGCTGATTACGAATCTGACATCAGATTTTCAAAATTCAAAATGGCGGATATAATAGGTAGGACAAAATTTAAAAATTAATCGGATTTATTTGTAACTTTTTACTGAAATTTTTAATAATTTTCAATTTTTATCAATATTAAATTGTCAAAAGAATTAACAAAACCCCTTCAAATAAAAATTTAAAAATAAAAAATTTGTCAAAATTAATTCCAGTGATCGTCAATTTGACGAAAAATTGACTATCACTATCGTTATTCTTTTGTTAATTCCTGCAATCAATTTGACGAAAAATTAGCGATCACTGTCGTTATTCTTTTTTTATTATGATATAATAAGGTTAGTTTTTCTACTGTTCGCTTCGTTATAAAACCATTTTGAATCAGCGACCCCAAAAACCCCTAAGAAATGAATTTCAGGCAAATTCAAATAATTTTAAAATTTTTATCCGCCATATTGGATCGGCCATTTTGAGTTTTGAAAATCTGATGTCAGATTCGTAATCAGCGACCTTAAAAACCCTTGAGTAACAAGTTTCAAGCAAATCTGATCACTTTTTATACATTTCTTTTGTGCTGATGTTTTTCTACGTTTTTTTAGCCAATTGCGTCCATCTTTGAAGCGCAATTGTAAAAAAACTAATAAAGCTAGAGGTGTGGGCTTTATTGCGTTGAAAAGAGCAGATCGTTTTCTATAAGAATTACTAAAAAACAGAAAATAGATTTTTTTGACCTAAGGTCCCTTTTAACATTCCAGGTCACATATAGCAATTCTATATGCAATTTTTCTAAGAAAGATGTTGTAAAAGAAAGTACACTTTGGAAACTTCTGTAAATAATTATAATCTTCTATGATTATGTGTGACAGTAAAATGGCACTTTAAACCGGACCTATCCTAACTTGTTCGTGTTGAAAAACTGAAAAAAGTAGTATGTTTGAAATTTCTCAAACACCCCCAAAATTTAATTTTAGGGACAAAAAACCGTTTTTTGTGTTTTTATGTAGAGAATTATACGTAACTTCCGTAATTTTCAACCCATTTTCAAAATTGTTTTTTTGTTTGAAAGGGGAAAAGCACACCTTTTCAACCGTGTATTGCTGGTTTAGTCAAAATAAAAATTGACAAAACCGCGGTTGAAAATATTTGCGATTTAACGATTTTCTTTACATTTTTTCAACTTTAACGAGCTTTTTAGAATAATGTTCGAATTTACATATTTTTTTTATGATAATTTTTTAAAAGTATACTTAATTCTGCGTAAAATGAGAATTTTTTTAAAAAAATTTAATACAAATTGAGAAAGATACGTGAATTTTAAGATTTTAACATTTTTTCGCTAAAGTTACAAATATTTCAATTTTGTTGTGGAATTTACATCAGGGCACTTTAAATTTTGTATTTACTAAATTTAATTGATTAACTAAAATGGCATGCATGTCAAACTTGTTTTTGATAGATTTAAATAAAGACAGAGTCCGTATATAGAGGGGGTCTGGTTAAATTTTAACTTTTATATATTTATATTGTTTAAGTGTGTTAATGTTTTTCAAACATTATTTAGGATTCAAATCTATTCTATGTTATCAAAATTAATAAAATTGTTTAGTATTGCGAAAGAAGCATATGAAAAGTTCGACAATAAAAAATAATTAAAAAATGTGGTAGAAGTTCAAATTTATATTTTACGAAATTTTAAGGTATTCTTATATAAATTGTCAAATAATTATCTGTTATTCTTTATTTAAAGATTATAAAATAGATTTTAATCCTAAATAATGTTTGAAAAACATTGACACACTTAAACAATATAAATTATAGAAAAGTTAAAATTTAACCGGACCCCCTCTAAATACGGACTCTGTCTTTATTTAAATCTATCAAAAACAAGTTTGACATGCATGCCGTTTTAGTTAATCATTTAAATTTAGTGAATACAAAATTTAAAGTGCCCTGATGTAAATTCCACAACAAAATTGAAATATTTGTAACTTTAGCGAAAAAATGTTAAAATCTTAAAATTCACGTATCTTTCTCAATTTGTATTAAATTTTTTTAAAAAAATTCTCATTTTACGCAGAATTAAGTATACTTTTAAAAAATCATCATGAAAAAAATCTGTAAATTCGAATATTATTCTAAAAAGCTCGTTAAAGTTGAAAAAATGTAATGAAAATCGTTAAATCGCAAATATTTTCAACCGCGGTTTTGTCAATTTTTATTTTGACTAAACGAGCAATACACGGTTGAAAAGGTGTGCTTTTCCCCTTTCAAACAAAAGAACAATTTTGAAAATCGGTTAAAAATTACGGAAGTTACGTACAATTCTCTACATAAAAACACAAAAAATGGTTTTTTGCCCCTAAAATTAAATTTTTGGGGTGTTTGGGAAATTTATCACACATCATTGTTTATAGTTTTACTAGACCTACAACTTGTACTAGGTCTCTATAAAAGTGCAGGCAACTTTTTTTATTTTGTCACACAGTGTTATAATTGCTTGTTTAATGTCTTGATTTGTAGGTTAAACTATTAAAAAAATGGGATATTAATGTAAATATCAATGATTTAAGTCACATCACAAACAAATATTTTAATAGTTCATCAAAAATGATAAGAAAATTAATGACACTAATCTTAGGTGAAAATATGTTACAAAATATGACAATAAGAAAAAAATTACGTTTTGATAAAAGGTATAATTCTATACCTGAGAATGTTCAAAATTTCGTTTTAGGTAAGTTTTTCGCATGAAGAAATCATATAGGGGGTTGTTCACAAACTACGACTCATGCTGTGTATGACGATTTGTAAAAAATATTTTATTTTGTATGTAAACCATGTGACCATTGACAATTTGACATTTGCAAATGTAGTGTCGGAATTATGCAAATACATACGTCTGAAAAATAGAGGAATGAAATCTTTGAAAGGTATGCTACAGGGACGTCTTGAAGACGTCCCTTTTTGTTCACGGACTTTCGGGGACAATGATCGTAATGTTTTGGAGTAATCAAAAAGACAACTAAAAAAGGACTTAAATTATCTTAAATAAATATTTCTTTTACAATATAACTGACAGATCTGTCAACCCCTCCCTGATAATGACCCTGCTAATTCCTGCTACATGAGATACATTTAGATATATGAGTACACTTTTCCCCCTACAATATTTTTCAAACAGAAATTTTATTATTGAAGTTATCAGGTGTTAAAGTTTTGGGTCATTTTATTTTTATTTTATTATTACTTTCAAACAAATAAAGATAAATAATGGAATTTTTTTTAATTAAAGCTAAAAGTCTATATTAAAGATGAAATAAAGTGATTGCTAAAAAATAAAAATTTTTAATTCTTATTAACAATTCTCTTAAACAATTGCAAATTGAAATATGTTCTGGATGTTTTTAAAAGATTAAATTACCATGTATTGATGTGCAAAACTCCAATGATTAATTACAAAAAAGAAAAATCAATAACCTCCAATATTATAGAAATTGTTTAGATTTTTCTGCCAAAATGCAGGCGGAAATTGACTCTTAATCTTAAAAATCCGCTTGAAAGCGTGAAGTTTCTAACAAAACAAATAGACGGATCAATACATGGTAATTTAATCTTTTAAAAACATTGAGAACATTCTTCATTTTGCAATTGTTTTAAAGAATTGTTAATAACAATTATAAATTTTCATTTTTTAGCAATCGCTTTATTTCATCTTTAAAGTATAAACTTTAAGCTTTAATTTTAAAAAAATTTACTTAATTATCTTTATTTGTTTCAAAGTAATAATAAAATGAAAATAATATGACCCAAAACTTCAACACCTGATAACTTCAATAATAAAATTTTTGATTGAAAAATATTGTAGAGTAAAAAAGTGTACTCATACATCTACCAAAAATCATAAATAACTTGAAAATTGAAGACAAAAGTTTTTAAAGTGTCCGGTTTTACTTATTTTTGCCTTGTTATAAATAAATATTTAGGGAATTCCAAGTGGTTTTTTAAAGTTTGTCTTTCTTTTTTTTCTTTCTCTATATTTCTCTATATTTCCAATCTTTAAACAATTATAAAAAATTGCATTGAATATTAATATTGATAATAACATAAGAACCTCCAATTATGAGCCTTACGAAAAACCCTTGACCAAAAGTGGCGCTACCTCTCCGTCTATAAATACTTTACTTGTTACTAAGCATGAGGATTGATGATTTAACAGTAAAAGAACAAACTAAGCAGGTAATTCTAAAATTGTTATACTTCTCTTGTTCTGTGTAACATATTACTAATGTATTTCCCAATAAGGATAACGACACTATTTTCTTTAAATTATAGAAAGCCTACTTTGATTACATCATTTTTAGAAATTTTTAGATCACTTTTCATTAGACCTAAAAAAGTTTTTATTTATCATAAACCTTCATATGAAAATCAAGAAACCATGAACATAAGAAACAAAATTTTATTGAAATATTTTATGAAATCTCAATTCATTGAAAATAAGTACAAATAATGAATTCAAATTTTCAATATATTTTACAGCTTCAGCTAACAACGTTCCTTTAACTCCATTGCAGGTTTCTGTTTTTAATATTTTTAGAATATAATTGTGTTATCTTCATTATGATTGCGTTGTGAATGTCTTACCTAAGAGAAGAGGGACGCATGCATATTCCACAACTGACAGACAACGAAAAAATCATTTAACAGAATTGACATTTAACATAATTGCTACACAACATAATTGTCATCGAATCAAATTGACATTTAACACAATTGTAATGCAACAGAATTGACATTTAACACAATTGTCATGCAACAATTATGTTACGTGTCAATTTAGTTGAATGACAATTGTATTAAATGTCAATTCTGTTGCAAGAAAATTCTGTTAAATGTCAATTATGTTGAATGACAATTCTGCTAAATCTTAATTCTGTTACATGTCAATTCTGTTGATTTTCAATTCTGTTGCATGTCAATTATGTTAAATATTTTTCTGTTAAATGACTTTTTTTTATGTTTGTCAGTTGTGCAATATTAATGCGTCCCTCTACTTTTAGGTAAGACATTAGCAGAAACATGATCCCAGAAAGTACGTAATCGTGCATTAATCTTGCTGCAAGCATCTCGTGCAAGTTTTGCGAGATTACTGCTACCTTGAAAAGTCACACCTGTGGTAAGCTTCTCATGTAAAAAAATATTGAATTATTTAATTAAACCCCTTGATGCAAGAACCAGACGCAGTCCATTCAATTTCAATGGTCTATGCAAAAAGACTATATGGGTGATTCTCCAAAAACCGGTCACTTTTAAGTTAATAAAAAATTTTTTTTAATGTTTAAAAATTGAACTTTCTTTTATTAATTACTATTCATTGGTATTTAAATAAACTATATTTGAAGTAGGTACGCTACAAAACTATTTGAAGTTTAAAAATATTAAAATTATTTAAACACCAGGATCATATTTTGAATTTTTTCACGTCGCTCTTTTTCGACATTTGCTTTTTTCTGTTTGTTTAATTATTCTTTTATGTTAGACAATCCATATCAACTATATTTATTTTAAATGACATTTATTAATAAACATTAGTTTTCGTGTAATTAGTACTTTTCGCGTAATTGAAATGAGGTGTGAAAAGTAAACAGGAAAACTAACCTTATCAGAGGCGTATCATCCAGGGGCACTGAAATTCATATTTCTTCTATGAAGGAGTTTTCACCGTAAGCCTTAAATATAAGCCTCCGCGAGCATAAACGGATATGCCTCCATGAGGATATACTTGCGTCTGCGCAAAGTGTTTGCCTGCAGCTGTGTTGTGAAAGAGTTTGCCTTGACCACGTATTCGCGCAGGCGCAAATATATGCTCCTGGAGGTATATCCGTTTATGCGCGCAGAGGCTTATATTTAAGGCTTACGGTGTAAACTCCTTCTATATAGGTATTATTAATTGAATTAAATGATTTATTTTTATCATTTTTAAAATTATATTTAAAAATATATGAAAAGATTAGAAAAATTTCAACTTTATTACCTATTTTAAAAAAAGTTTTAGGCACGGACACACTTTTTACTTGTTTCGCACCTACCACGTGCAAATGTTTTGACACGACAAAGGGCTCCACGACAATGGAAATTTGTACGAAATCCATTAATACATATTTTAAACAAAAGTAAATAAAAAAATGGCTAGGTATACACTTTTGTCCTACCAAACTGTAAGTTTTCATCCGTTTTTTATTGATATCTATATTGAAATATTAAAGTTATGACAGCGCACGACAAAGGAATGAATAAAAATACGCAGTGTTTTTCTAGTGTTTTTTTTTTAATATGAAAAATATAATTTATTTTCCAATTTCTCTTGGAGATTTGAAAAGTGACATGTTTTTTCTTTAATTTCCAATTGATTTTTATATAAAAAGTGCACGTCTTATAGTTTATTTATACACGTTTATCCTTTGTCGTGCTAGCATGGAGATTTTTAAAGACACTTATATTTTAATAATTATCAATAACTATATTGATGTATTAAAAAATTTCATCGATAAAAATTGAAGCTTTTGAGTTAATCTTTCATAATATTTATTGAATAATTAAAGATAGTTCTTTTTTTATAAGTAATAGTACTTTAAAGTTTGGTACTCAGAGGTAAGGACATATTGAATTGCTGTTTTCCAGCTGTTAAATGTTGTTTTCCACTAAATTTGTGTTAAAAAATTATCGTTTTTTATAAAGGGTATAATAAGTGATGTTTAAATAATATGTTTGTCCAATGTTAATATTTAAATGTTAAGTTGTTTAGAAGATATAATTCAAAGACATGAAATTGCCCACTTTCAGGAGAATCACCCATATACAGGAAGAGTATCAAGAGGAGTTGAATAGGTGCAAGAGATGGGAACAGCGTGAAATAAGTTGCACCAGAGATGAATTTGGACTCTGCGCATACAAACTGTCTGCTACATCAGCTAATATACATGTTGTTAGTATGCGCAGAACCCAAATTCATCTCTGGCACAACTCACTCCACGCCATCTTTGTTCCCGCTTGCAGCCCCACTGCTCTCTATACATTTGGCACGAAGTTTGCTCTCCTGTATGCAGTCTTCTTGCGTCTGTGTCTAGTTTTTGCATCAAGGGGTTTAATTATCAAAGGTTTTATTTTATTGGGACATCAAAAAAATTTTAATAAAATTTTAATTCTCTTGTTGTAATATTACATTTTTTCCAATAAGAGTTTGAAAAAATATGCTTTTTTACCAATTGTGCAATAGAAAGTTCCCTAAAATAATATAAGTATTTGCTTACATGGCAAGCTTGCAACCATAAAAATACAAAATGTTTCATATTCAGACATTTATTATTACTTTGAAAAAATTAGACATCTTACCTGTTTCGTATTTTGAAAAACGGTATCTAAAAATTAGTCATTTCATTTCGTAGTGTTCACTGAAATGCATTAATGGTTTCCTTTCAGTTTGACAACACTTTAAAAAGTCGTGACATATCTATGAAAATGTTGTTAGTTTGTACCCAGCTTAAAATTTCCCTAAAGGATCTTCAAAGGAACCCTAACGGAGTCTGTACAGTTCTTGTACAAAATCCGTCAGGGATTCTTGACTTGTCCTGTACGGGATACCGACTGGATCCTGTACAAGATATTGGGACAAAGTTCCTGCATAGGAACCTGTACAAAAACCTGTGTGGGAACCGTGATTGTTGGTGTCCCTCGACGGTTCCTGTTTGGAACCTTAACATCAGATTTTTCATAAAAATTTTTCTTCGTAGGGACCTACATGGGTTGTATCCTATGTAATAAAAGCAGGAACTTTTATTGCCGTCCTGTGAAGAAACCTATGTATAATCCAGAGAAGAATAAGAAAATATTATTCTAATAAGCAAAATACAATGGTTCCTACATGGGATCCTACATAAGTTTCTTTAAGAATGTCAATAAAATCTTTCCTGTGCAGAATCCCATGCTGGTTCCTACGAGGAAAAATTTTTGTGAAAAATTTGATGTTAAGGTTTCCACACAGGAACTGGCGAGGGACCCCTACAATCAAGGTTCTCACACGGGTTCTTATGCAGGTTCCTACGCAGGAATCTTGTCCCAATATCTTGTACGGGATCCCACACGGGATCCGGTTGGGATCTCGTACAGGTCAAGGATCCCTGGCGGATCCTGTACAAGAACTGCATAGGATGCGTTTGAGTTCCTTTGAGGATCATGTACGGGAATTTTAACCATATAAGTATGAACGAACTTATATGTCATAAACTAATGTTTTGGTAGATGTGTCACGCCTTTTAAAACGCTGTCAAACCGGAAGGAAAGCATTAATGAATTTGACTGTACATAAATAATTTCTCATAAGTATACTTATTAGTCTGTTCTTGAATTATAGGATTATCTACTAAATAAATGGAACATTGATGTTAATATCAAAAATCTAACTCTCATCACAAAAAAATATACTGCTAGACCATCTGCAATGATAAGAAACTTAATGAAAATAATCTTAGGTGAAAATATGTTACAAAATATGTCAATACAAGAAAGAAAACGTTTTTGTACGATGTATAATCCTATACCTGAAAATGTAAAAAAATTTGTTTTTGGTAAGACTTTCAGAAAAAGAAATTAAACATTTATAATTTCATTTTCATAATAAAGTTATATACAATTTCAGAATATGTGAACTCACATGCCCAAGAAACGATAAGTAATTCAACATTTGTAAAAGTTGTTAGTCAGTTATGCACAGACATGCGTTCTGTAAAGCGAGTAAAGGAATCATTAAAAGGTGTGCTACAGTTCTTTTAGATTTATCCTTTTAACTTTGCGCCTTATTCTCACTAATATGTTAAAGACATAACTTTGCTCCATTATTCTAAATACTTTATTTATTACTAATCATGAGATAATCCATTATTCAATAATAAAAGAACAAAAGAAGTAGACAATTCTAATTGTTACTTTTGTGTTATTGTTCGTAACTTATTCCTAATGTATTTCTAAATAAATATAACACTACCTTTTTCTCTGAATGCTTCATTTTTAGGTCACTTCCCAGTAGACCTAAAAATATTTTTATGTATCTAAACCTTCATATAAAAATTAAAAAACCATAAACATAAGAAACATAAAGTTTTATTGAAATATTTTATAAAAAATCAATTTATTGAAAATGAGTACAAATAATAAACTTAAATTTTTAAAATATTTTACAGTTTCAGCGAACGACGTTCTTTTAACTCCTTTGCAGGTTTCTATTTCCAATATTTTTATAATATAATTGTGTTATTTTCATTATAACTGCGTTGTGAATCATTTTCTGGTATAAAACCATTACAAAATATCTTTTCACTTGATTGTATTTCGCTTATAAATTCGTATGGAATTTTGAAGAGCTGTGCAAGTATAATTAAATGTGTCTGCTCTTAGAAAAGACATTTTTAAAAACATGATCCTAGAAAGCACATAATCTTGCATAAATTTTGTGGCAAGCATACCGTGCAAGTTCTGCAAGATTATTGATATCATGAAAAGTCGAACCTGTGTTATGCTCCCCATTTATGCAAATATTTAATTATTTATTAGTCAACTCTCTGCCTACGCTGAACTATCTCCCTGAAAAAGAAGTACCTTTAAGATGATGCCACCTACAGATGCAAAGATGAACTAAAAATCCTTAAAACAATTTTTTAATTCTGTTCTTCTAATATTAAACAATGTCCAAAAAGGGTTTTTGCAATAACTATAATACATTTTTTACAATTTTTTGTGGTTTACCCAAAAGATGCATTAATGGTTTACTTCTGGTTTGACAGCCTTTAAAAAGTCGTAAAATATCTTTCAAAATGTTAGTTCCTATTGTATGAAGAACTTATATGTCACAAAAGAACACTTTTGATAGATGTGTGACAACTTTTTAAAACGCCATCAAACCGGAAGGGAAGCATTAATGCATTTGAGTGTACATAAATAACTTTCTATAAGTATTCGTGCTTAATTTGTTCTTGAATTATAGGTTGATCTATTACATAAATGGAACATTTATGTTAATATCAAAAATTTAACTCTCATCACAAAAAAATATACTGCTAGACCATCTGCAATGATAAGAAACTTAATGAAAATAATCTTAGGTGAAAATGTGTTACAAAAAATGTCAATGCAAGGAGAGAAACGTGTTTATCCAAAATATATTCCTATACCTGAAAATGTAAAAAATTTTGTTTTTGGTAAGACTTTCAAAAAAAGAAATTAAACCTTTATAATTTCATTTTAATAATAAATAAAGTTATATAATTCAATTTCAGAATATGTGAACTCACATGCCCAAGAAAGGATAAATAATTCAACATTTGTAAAAATAGTGAGTCAGTTATGCTGTAACATGCGCCAGAAAGACAGTGACATGCCACTTAGGACAGGTACGATACAGTTTTTTTTAAATTAAAACTTTTTATATTTCGCCTACTCTCTAAAATATTAAGTACTCTGCTCCAATAAGATATTTTTTTAAAAAATACTTTACTTAATAATAGGCATGAGAATCTATTATCCAACAGTAAAAAATGAATATAGGCAGAAAAAAAATGTCAAAAATTCGACCTACGAGTTAACCTAGTTTGCAATAAAACATTCGACATTTAAATCACTCATCCACATAGTACATTATCTTGCTGTAAGCTTTCTTTGAATAATAATTATATCCCCTATCATAATAAGCTTACCTTAAAGTTACCGAAAGCTGACACCACATGGTCAGGTCAACGTAAACTTACATGCCAGATTACTGTAAGCTGCCATCGAAGGCTCATTGGGAGCTTACACTATAAACTCACAGATCTTACAAGGTATGAATAGTTCATAGCTGTGATTGGTTGGTTTATGGTTCATGACGCTGATTGATAGAGACGGCGTGGCTAATGGGCAGTGAATAATCTTACCGGTAGGGATAGTGCAGAACCATGATTGGTTAAATTACACAGGTCCACAAAAAAATCGATGAAATTCGACCAAACATGGTGAATTATATGTTTTTGGGGTCGTTGAAAATGAATCTGCAGTTCGTTTTGCTTCATCACGTCAGGATTTTTCCTAACCTCAAAATACACATCAGATTCTACGTGTGAAAGAAAATTCTGTAAATAATGTCGGATTTACCTCAATCTTGGTATCGAGGATCTACTGGGGTTGCTGATTAAGAAATGTAGAGTCAGATTTTTAAAATATAAAATGTCGGATCCAATATGGCGGTCGGATTTTTAAAAATGCTTAAATTTTTACAAAAGTTGGTATCAAGGGGTTTTTGGGGTCGCTGATTACGAATTTAGAGGCAGATTTTTAAAATACAAAATGACGAAGCCAATATGAAGGTAAGATTTATAAAAACTTCTTGAATTTTTATAGCACTTGGTATCTAGGTGTTTTTAAGGGCTCTGACTACAAATTCTTTTGTGGGCCTGTATCCAGGGTACCTCCACGTGGTGACGACAGGCAACGGAGTTATTCCGTGATTTGTCAGTGTCCAAAAACTCACAGATACCAAGTTCTATAAAAATGCAGGAAATTTTTATAAATCCGATCGCTATATTGGATTTGTCATTTTGTATTTTGAAAATCTGACCTTAAATTTTTGTGGATCTGTGTTATATTTGATGAACGTAATTGTTTGTAGGTGGGATTTGGAAAGTTAAATTAATGACTCCAGAAGGTGTCGGAAAAGTTTCTTCGTAAACCATCCAAATGTTAAAGAACGAACGACGGTACACTATAGCTGCAGAAGTATATTCCGGTAGTTTTAGTCGTCACTTGTAAAATTTGAAATTAGGTTTCTTGACAATATTTTACAACCTTAGGAACATAAGAAAGAAGTGGTGTAGAGTATATTTCATTAATTTATTTCATTAACAATTATTATTTCTTTATAACTGGTATTACAAAGAGGTCGATCCTTTCTGTAATTCTCTAATCCTAGTTTAAACCTATTAACATGAAACCACTTCGGTTGTTAGGCGTTCCAATTGGTGTTCGATATTACTAGCCAGAAATGGTGAAAAAGTTAAAATGTGTGTTCCTCGAAAAGAAAAAGTAAAGTACCTCTGTAATGTACGGTTTCAGTTCGGCTGCCTGCCTGCAGGTTGTCATGGTAACACATAAGAGTAAGAGAGCCAGACAATTCAAATTATATGCTTTCGCTCCCTTTATCTAGTTGCGGCTGCCTTTATCTCGGCAATCAGCCGAGCTGTGACCGTGCCATTACTTATTATAAAGGTTCTGATATATACTTTGTAATTTTTGTTTTGTTCTGATATACTGAATTTAATATCAATTAAATAAATACCAGCAGTCAGAATAAGCTTAAATTAGATTACCCTTTCGAATTTTGTAACATCAAGCTCAAATTCAACATTCCTAAAAATCTCTATATACCAGATATTATGAAAATCTCTTAATTTTTAACTTTTGTGTCTCATATTGGAGCCGTTGTAATAAGATAAATACAATTATAAATTATAAATACAATTATTATATTATATTAAATTGACGTTTGACATATGAAACATTTTATCCTATTACATAAAAGCTGATTTATAAACATAATTTGATTTCTTTTTTTCAGCACAACTTCAACGTGGGCTGTAGTTGATATTATTAAGAATAACAATAAGTTTAATTTCAAGGATAGAAAATTTTTATTGTTTACATTAATTAATTGGATAAAAAGTTTCTTTAAATAGAATATATAATACATTTTTACATGAAATTTTTTAACAAGCTTTAAGAAAAATGACTATAAATAAACATTTATGCAATGTTTCTGTGTAGGTTTTTGGCAAGGGGATTTCTTTATACAGATATAAGTTGTTTGGAAGACAAATTTTATAGTATTAAGTTTTGAGTAGAACATTGCAAATAAAATTATACTTTGATGTAAAGCATCTATATAGCCAAGATTGTAAGGATGAAGACAGTATAACAAATAAATACATAATGTATTTTGAATCGTATTTAAAAATTATTTTTAATAACACTTTGTTTAATCTGTCGGAATTTTTAAACAAATTATAAAAATATTTGTAAATTTCATTAAAATTGCTTTACAATTGTTACTCGTCATTTCAAAATAGCAGATTTAATATTTAGTTATGCAATAATTTTATCCGGATACTTTTTAATATTCCTTCAATCTAATTATACATAAAAATATGTTATTTATAAAGTGATTTTGATTTATGAATTCCGTTTGAGTAACTAAATTTTCTAGAATAATTGCAAATTGTTGTTTTGCAACCTGTAATTTGTTAAGGTTTTTCAAATTATGTGACAGTAAATATTTTTAACCATATAATTCTCTGTACTATTGAAACTGTAACTAATCGCAAGAATTAGTTATAGTAATGTAAAAAAAAAATTTTTACAAGATAAATAAAATATATTAAAAACATTTTAATTTGCATACTAAAAACTAACAAATCTTATTCTTTTAGAATTATTACGGTTCCGCGTTTATACAAAGTTACCAACCCAAACCGAAGTAGCTAAAGTCTTGTCTGTAGTGATTCTTTGGAAGAATTAATTACTGAGGCTTGCACAAATTTGAATATTAAGTTCAACTTATCTTGCTATTTACGTTTCCTTGTTACAAAATATTGTTTATATGTACTTAGATATCAAGTAATCTTGCAGTAAAATTTCTGCAAGCTTGAACTATCCTACTCACAGGAAGATTGCAGTGTAGCTTGCTGCAATATTCTATTGTAACATTTAAAAACTTTTTGGTAGTTTATTCTTGAAGAAGATGAAACAAATATGTTTAATCTTAATATCTTGAAAAGTCTGTCTGAACATTATCCAAACTCTTCTTTTCTTTTAATGGTGGTTTACGACTGTTCACCGAGGAAGCCGATTCAAGAGACTGTTTCTTCAAGTCTGGTAACAAACTCTCCAACTGATAGTAAGATTTTCCAACATACTTCTCAGATATGCTTAATTTTTATTAATTTTAGTATATTTTTAAAGGTCGTCAAAACTAATGTAACTACTACTTCTTCTACATCTATCAATATTGGAGAAGATGTCAATCAAATTTAAACATCATCTGGTAGCAGGAGAATAAAAGCTCTTCCTTGTGATTCTAGTGTTCTTAAGAAACTGAAGAGTAGAGAATCCAATCCAACCAGGTATGTTTTAGTTTTTATAATAAATGCTGCTAAGTATATGTATGACTGATGTATTAAAAGAAGAAAGATTCAATACTACCAGTCATGTTGCAGTATTGATGGTTCTTCGCGTTTTTGGCTTTTCCGTGTGAACTGAAAATGATTACTGTTTAGATATCTCATCTGGTGTAAAGTCCATGCAGAAAAAACTTTATGACCAGATAAAAAAGTGAAACTATGTGGGCAGAAGTATCCATGTTTTTTAACTGCGAAGAAGAAGGAGAAAACAGAAGCACTCCAAAATCATTAGAAAGATATGTCAAAAATCAAGATATCTATGTTTGTGTAGCGTATGAATCTTCACTTCTTGATAATGAAACAAGTGAAACCAATATAATGAAAAATAGTCTAATACACTCTATTTCCAACCATGGGATGAAGTTACCCGAGGAAGAAGAACCAAGATTTTTAGATTTAACTTACTCTACACAAAGAGTAAATATTAAAAGACGAGAACAGATTCAAATGACTTTGACAGATTTACCTGTAGATTATTGGCCTCATTTAAGAAAAGAAAGAATATTTTAAAGATTATTTGTAACGGAGTTTCTATTTTCTATCCATCTCTCTGAACCAACTCCTATTTAACATTACTAAAAACGTGTTTCTCCCTAAAATATCACGTTGCACCTCTTAACTAAGGGCTGTTACCTTAGAGTCAGAATAAGTCTTGTCCTTTTATTGGAAACAAGTATCTAAAGCTACGGCTTCAGATACGATAGACTCGTTCTCTGCATAATTGTATTAATGTAACTTAATATTAATAACGGTTAAAGAAAGTAATAAATATTAAACTATCAATTACATCTTTTAATACCTACAGTTTCTTAAAGTAATAAATATAATTAATAAGGCGTTGTCGGCAGTGGCGGGACAGCGGGTATAGCGAGACACTGCGATATTTCAAACAGCTGAGTTGACAGTGTTGCTCTTTTTATGTAAAAGTAAAGTTTTATTCTGTTGAAGCTTTTTTATATAATACACACTTTCTGGATGTAAAATCTGTCACTACAATGCTGTCAATAGTTTTAAGCAAGGTTTAAAGTTTTATTCTTCGTAAGAAAGAGTGTTTATAAAATTAAACTTTTCAAAATTTGGTGAACGCCAAATATTTTAAGTTATTAGTATGTAAGATATCTTCAAAATTCTTAGAACATTATGCATAATAGTGCGATAGACACAATTGTAGCTCGTTATTACCGTAAATCACTGTTTCGGCAATGGCGGGACACTTATTGTCGGCAGTGTCCGGACACTGCTTGTTTAAATCTAATAAAATAGTACATTTCTAAATGACTTCGGTATTATTTTTTTTAAGTTTTGTCGGCAATATTTTTCATAACAATAACCTATTACCTAATCTTAAAGTTGCGAATGAATTTTCAAATAATCTGTAATAATAAAAATAATATTTAATAAACATTACATTTAACGATCATTCCGAGTCCGCCGTGTAAAATAAAACAACAAATGTTGTTTAAGGTTTCGACAGCGCGGCTGCCCTCTTCAGAAACTATAATTTATTTAACAAAAAAAGAAATTAAATAATTAAATTAAAATACATTCTTAAAAATATGAAGTTAATAATTATAAACTTATTTTTGAACAATTATTTACCGAAAAAATAAACAAAATTAGAAAAGGTTCCAAAAGGAACGTCTTTGTCGTGGCGATTACAATTAGACACAGGTAATGGAATCAATATGTTTTGGTGTCAAATCATACGCACGACAATTCAAAAGAAAATGTAGTTGAGATGTGAACTTGGTGTAGTCTTGATTAATGTTGATCCACATCTTATGAATATGTTGTTGATGAGCAGTAGAAGCAAATTCAAATACGTTTGATGCACTGTCATCACATGACCGTTCCAGATCCATGGTCATTTTTTATAAAATTATTATATGATATTAACACTCGGTTGTTATAAATATTTAATAAACATTGAATTTAACGATCATTCCGAGTCAGGTGTGTAAAATAAAACAACTTTTGGAACCTTTTCTAATTTTGTTTATTTTTTCGGTAAATAATTGTTTAAAAATAAGTTTATAATTATGAACTTCATATTTTTAAGAATGTATTTTAATTTAATTATTTTATTTCTTTTTTTGTTAAATAAATTATAGTTTCTGAAGAGGGCAGCCGCGCTGTCGAAACGTTAAACAACATTTGAGGGGCTGAGAGCAAAAGTGGTATGATCAAACAGTGGAAGCAAAAGTGAGTTACGTTTTCTTTTCCGTAGAAAAGCGAAACGAATTATACGCTGCGAGCAAAAATGAGTTGAGAAAGTATTAGAGCAAAAGCGGGATAGGATTTCTGTGGGCGCAAAAGCGGGATAAAGATATAATGAGTTGTTGCTCCCCCACCATGCGTCTACTTACACACTCTCGCTGCGAGCTGAGATCTCGTCAGTGAGCCAGATTTTCGTTTTCTTCTAAAATTTATCGAGACAGGCTTTACAGGGCTACCGATGCACTTGAAAGTACACGCGAAAAGCGTGAGTTTTGCATAGTAAATAAATTTTTTTACTCATTAATTTATAAATAATTAATTAATAAAAACCGCTGACTAGTTAAAATATGCATTTTTAGTGTTTATATATTTTAATTAACACCTCGCTTCCTCATGAAGATGTTCTTTATTTAAATCGATATTTTTAAACTTTTATAAAATTTCTTAATGTAATATTAAAATTTTGCATAAAAATTAAATATATATTATAATTTTGTTCGTTATTTTTTATTTTTGAAACATTAATAATCCCGATATATTTCAGAATAAAAGTTTTACAAATAGGTCAATCGATGAAGTTTTAAACATTGTTTTAGTTAGTTATGGTTATTTTAAAGTTGCATAAATATTTATTTATTTATTGTAATATAAAAATACTCAAAAACTTTTAAATAATGAAATATATACTTTCATTATTTAAAATTTTTTTAGAATTTTTTATATTACAATAAATGTAAACAAATAAATAAAGACATTTATTAATATAAAATTCATATTTATTTGCATAATATCTATTATAAAAATTTTATTAATTTAATTGTAAAAATATATTTTAAACAATATTTCAAAATAATAGTAACTTTTATTCTAAGTTAATAAGCTGATGAGAATATTATGAAAAATAAAGAGTTTTAAGGTAAAAAGGAACTATGCATTTTTGTTAAAATACCAAAATATTATTAGTTATTTTAGCTAGTAAATAATTTTTAAAAATTATTTTTATTGTCAGAATTCATTGTCCAAAAATGTTATGCAAGTGATTTCTTTAAGACTTAATCGCTGTCGTCACTGACGAAATCATAGTCTTTAGAGGAATCGTTAGTCCTTAAATTTTGATAGAAATGCCTATACCTTTGTGGAATAAATTCCATTAACGCCATGAGATCATTGAATTTTTGTTTGGTTATTGTCCTACCGTTTGGGCATAATAGGGACAACTCAATGTCCCTAAAATCCTCTTCGGTTGCATGTTTCCGTCCAATGTCCACTCTCTGTACAGACGTACAGTTTCGTCGTCGCACGTCATAAACAAATAAAAAGGTTGTTCTTTGTCGTGCTTCAACGATCTTGCTTTTAACCAGTTAATATTGTCTTTATTGACATCTTTTTTTATGTTAGTAATGTGCTCCTCTAACTCCTGTGAAGTAAAAAAATCACTTGTTTCCATTTTTGTGACAATGAACTTTGGCTCGTTCTTTCTTGTATTTTTTATTATATGAATCTAGTGATCGGGGTCATTAACAGCTTCAATATTTCGTCTTTCTTTTTCAATGTAACCGAAATTTCGGTCACAACCGTTGTAGCTATGTCCTGACATATAAAACTAATGTTCAATCAATTCAATGTTGCTCGAAGCAAGAAAATGCTTCAACATAAATGAAACTTTAATATTTCTTTTTTGACCACCGCAAGAATCCGAATATAGAATTACATGTTTGGTCGTTTCCTTGATGTGATTTTTCGAATGTTTTAGTAAGCAGAATCCAACTTCTTGTCCACCTCTGGAAGCTACATTTTCCGACCAAACGTACATATATGCTACAACAATACAAAAAAATTCGAGAAAATATAAATGGCCATATGTTTAATTTTTTATTACAATTAAAATAAATGTTTGATATTAAAAGTCTTTATTATTTTATATATAAATAAAACAAATTCAATTTATATGTTAATATAAAATATATTATTAAAAATTATTTTTAAAATTTTTTTTCCTAAAGTATTTATGTACTTAATTAAAGAAAAAATGTGTGTCTAAAATATATTTATTTACCTCGTTGATCCGTTTCATCATAGATACATAGATTGTATGTAGACAACTGCCGTTTATAAAAGGCAATTCCAGTTGTAAGCTATGGTGTTTCTAAAACTTTCTGTAGGTCGAATGTCAAAACAACCGTATCTTCTGACGCATCCAGGACATCATTCTTAAATTCTTCTTTAATTTTTTAATCCAAAAACTGGTAGTTTTCCTTTGTTTTTAATATTTCCTCCTTTTTTTCGTCAGACAAAGTATCATCTTGTAATTGAGCTTTAAAACTATCGCAAGTTTTGCAAGTGTCGGAATGCGGTCTTTTAAAGCTGAGATTGAATTCTTCATTAAAAATCTCGCAAAATATGGTTTCAGATACCGGTTGGATATTTTCGTTATCACATTACTCTTTATACATTCTATACATTTGAGCTAGGTTCAGATTAGGATTTAAGTACTTCTTTTGGGAAGAAGAACGACCGTAATGCGACTTGTAAGCCGGAAACCGATTAATAAATGACCTCACAGCAGATCTAGCAAAATCAGGAGTTCTATTCGCTGAAGAACTTTTTCCACGTTTTTCAGTGCCACTTGGGTTAAATGTTGCAGAATTGATTGCTCGATTTAATGCAGATTTTGAAATTTGAATACATTTATAGAAAAACGATGTACACACTTTATTTCTCACACCCAAACTGTCAGTTAAGTAATATTCAAAGTTAAAATCATGCCTCTTTATGGGAATAATAAGCCTATTCGTTTCATTTCTGCATTTTGCTAGAACTTTATCGACAAATGAACGTAGTAGTAAAACTTTTTGAGCCCTATTCGAATCTTGATAATAGCTGTTAAAAATTTCTTCTTGTCGAAGAGGATCTATTTTTGTTGGACAGTCCAACTTGCATTGACACAATGTCTGGCTAATGAATTTCTTCGCTTTAATTATTTTTCCTGATAATGCAATTCGCTCTCGTCCTCTTTCGACGTTTTCTTTTGATATAAACCTTTTGTGTAAATGTGGTTGCCTCATTCCTTTTCGACAAACTTTTTTTTTCGTGGTGACGAAAGATCTATAAAAAAATATTAATAAAAAAATTTGAAAAATATCATATATAAATAGAGAAAGGAAGATTATGCGACTGCATAATTGCATAATTTTTTAAAATCAAGTAGAAACATTATAATATTAAGTTAATTCATGTTTTAAACCTTTTACAACATGTTTCTAGAGCGCATAATATTGCATAATTTTTAACTTACTGCATAATTTTACTCTTTTTGCATAATGATCACATAATAGGCTCAAAATTTTCAAAATAGTGCTTTTTTTAACTAAGGACCATGAAAACTTTTTTCAGTTTCTTTATTTAAAAATATTTTTTTGTAAATTAAATAATAAATAAGTTTTTAAACTGTTATATAACTTTTTAAATGTTATTTTTAAAATTTAAGATTTATTAAATTTTTGGAAATTTTTCCAAAAAAATAAAAATTTTAAACTGAGTAGAATGAACACATATAGAGTAGAATTACACGACAAGTAGTAGAAACTTCTAATGTTTACCCTCAAAAATGAACAAAAATATTAAAATATTGTAAAAAAATGTTTCCGTTAAATTTTTTTGGAATCTTAAAGAAACCACAGCAAAGATTCGTTTAGTGTTGGTCTCATTTAATTTCGTTTGGTCGTTCAAAAGTTATTCAATTATTATTTAATACCTGTTTTGTTTATCAAAATTTTGTACAAACATAATATAAACAATTTTTTCGTTTTTTATGTTGAATTAAGTGATTTGATTAAGAAATAACTACTAATTTTGGAATCGCACATATATCCATTTTTTAATAAAAAACGAAAATTTTTTTGGGTACATAGACCTTCGGGAAATTAGATTTGGAAAAAAGGTATTCAGGATTTTAGACATTCGGGAAATTGGTTTTAGAAAAATTACCGGTAACTGTTTCAAAACACAAATTTTTTTTAAACGCAACATAACATACTTTTGTAGCGTCACAGAAAAATTTTTCATTTACGTCATTATAATTCGGTTTTTTGAGTCATTTTTCGAGTTTAGCTCAAAATTTTGTTCACATCTGTCAATTCTGACTTGAAATTCGGATTTAGCGGGAAGAAAACAAGGAAATATACTATTGTTGTTGGACCTTTTTTTAGGGAAAAAGTCGGAAATTTTGTTTTTGCCGAAGGTTCTTACTATTTTGTTTAAATTCTAGATGAATAAACAAACAAATTTGCTTTGGACAACTTTTAAATAAAATATAGGCATCAAGAAGTTTTTTCGCTTTGAAGTTTGAGAAAATAGCTATTTTAATGGCAGATCAGAAATTCAAGCACATCATATTTTGGAAAAATATTATTGAATATCATAACTTTTAGAAAAAATTGATAAAGTACCAGTTTTCATGTATTAATCAATTGTTTTCGTATTGAAAAAATGAAAAGCAATTAGATGACAGGTTAAAAGATCGATTTTGTAAAGGTAAAATTATAAAACAATACATTAAACAATATAACTTGGTATTTTCCCAAATGATTATAATTGTTCTATTTGGAGTGAAAAAATTTATATTCAGCTTACCTTCGATTTCTTTACCTTCTTCGGATGTTTCACTACTGATTAAATTACTTGTATCCGAGTCTGTTGATATATTATATGTATATATCTTCATTGGCTTCTGCAAAAGACATTACAATTAAAAATTTTTCTAACAAAAAACTTAATGAAATAAAATTTTTTTTCATTTATTTAAAATATTATTTTTCTTACCTTCTGGTTTAGAATTCATTTTAAAATTAAAACGTATACACAAAGGGTCAGAATTCGTGAAATTTTCACAGAAAATAAAAAGTATTTTTTTTAAATCGAAGTGTTGAAAAAACATTTCTATTTGGCCTTAAGAATGTGTCCACCAAAAAACAGAAAAAAAAATTATTTTTTATAAAAGTTATTGCAAAATTAATTTTTTAGCAACTTTTTAAACAAAATTTTATTTCTCCTAAATGAATGAACCGATTTAAATGAACCAAGCGGGAATATCAAGGGGATAAAATATACTTTCCTTTAGAATTAGAAAATTTTTAAAAAGTTTATTTTTTAATAATTATTTAATAAATTTTTTATAAACAATTAATTTTTTTTAATGTTCTGCGCCTTTTAAAAATTGGAAAAAAATATTAACATACACTTAAAACTATAAGAAATCAAAATCCGTTGAGAAAATTTTGGAGCGACAATTATTTTAAAAGTTATAAACAAATTATATTGGCGCGGTGTTGTGCATCAACGCTGAACTTAGTTTTTGATCATTTTTATCAATTTTTATGGTTATATAATTGAATAAAAATGTTAATTTGACAGTGTTTTGTTCATTTCATAGTTAAAAATAATGTTTTAATTCTGAAAATCATCAAAATCGCATCTCCGTTCAATATAATTTGTTTATAATTTTTAAAATAATTGTCGCTCCAAAATTTTCTCAACGGATTTTGATTTCTTATAGTTTTAAGTGTATGTTAATATTTTTTTCAAATTTTTAAAAGGCGCAGAACATTAAAAAAAATTAATTGTTTATAAAAAATTTATTAAATAATTATTAAAAAATAAACTTTTTAAAAATTTTCTAATTCTAAACGAAAGTATATTTTATCCCCTTGATATTCCCGCTTGGTTCATTTAAATCGGTTCATTCATTTAGGAGAAATAAAATTTTGTTTAAAAAGTTGCTAAAAAATTAATTTTGCAATAACTTTTATAAAAAATAATTTTTTTTCCTGTTTTTTGGTGGACACATTCTTAAGGCCAAATAGAAATGTTTTTTCAACACTTCGATTTAAAAAAAATACTTTTTATTTTCTGTGAAAATTTCACGAATTCTGACCCAAAACAATTTCAATATACACTAAAATTAGAATGTCTTTACAAATTTTAGAGAACTTTTTTAAGTGTATAAAAATGAACCACTTTCTGATAAATTTGAAAAATTCTGAAACTGCAAACTGCACCTGTGCTCAGGTTTAGAGCGGGGAAAAGACTGAATTCTAAAATGGCTTTTCCAAGCTTCAGAAAATATTCAACTGAAAATAATAAGCACAAAAGCATGAAATTTCGACAAGGTGCAAAACGTACATAGTACCTGAGTACCTACAGCATTCAATTTGCCCTCGCTGAGCCGATTTTTATTATCTGCGGACGGTAGGTATCGAGGCAAAGTATCTGACGACAGCCAGGCAAGAAAATGTTTGAGAAAATATTATAGATGTTTTCCAGTAAAAATTATTACATAGAAAAATTGAAAAATCTTAGACAATTTTCCAGCAATAAGCACAAATAAAAATACATTAAAATAAATATTTAACATACTGTTTTGTTATAATTGTTTTTAATTATTATTAATCATTGTTTTTTTATCTAGAGTTATTAACATTAAAATATTTTTAAATTACGGACTTTTTTGCACTAATTGTATAAAAATCTTTATGCAACTTTAAAATTACCATAACTAACTAAAATAATGCTTAAAACTTCAACGATTGACCTATTTGTGAAGATTTTATTTGAAAACATCGGGATTATTAATGTTTTAAAAATCAAAAATAACGAATAAAATTATAATAGGTATTAAATTTTTATGCAAAGTTTTAATATAATATTAAATTTATTTTATAAAAGCTTAAAAAGACATTTACGCTTTTATACGCGTGTATTTTAAAGTGCATCGGTAGCCCTGTAAAGCCTTTCTCGAGAAATTTTAGAAGAAAAAGAAAATGTGGCTCACTGACGAGATCTCAGTTCGCAGCGAGAGTGTGTATGTGGTCGCATGGTATGACATGGTGGGGGAGCTACGGGCAAAAGAGATTTAAGTTTTGACTGGGAGCAAAAATGGGTTAGACCCTTAACCTGCTTTTGCTCCCAAATAAAAGTAAATCCACTTTTCCACGCAGCATTTGTCTAACCCATTCTTACGCCCAAGAAAAATCAACTCACTTTTGCTCACACTGTTTGGTCATCCCGCTTTTGCTCTCAGGTTGAGTCCACAATAGATAAATCGGACGACTAACGTGAACGTAACGTTTACGTTTTGTTAACGTGACATGCTCGCAACACGTGTTTGACAGGTGTGTAAATACATTTGTTTTTTGTGTTTGACAGTTATTTAACGGAACGTGTAATATTTGTATTTCATTCAAAAATGAGTTTGTATAATATTATTATTTTGATAATTATGCAGTGGACAAGTGTTTTTCGCCTTTTATTTATTTTAAAAAAGCAAAGGAGATCCTTTCGACGTTGGTGGGTTAAAGCACATATTAGAAGTCACATGAGAAATGCATTTGGTGCATACGAAAATTTATTTTTATATTTTATGCGCGAAGATCACGAAGAATTTTTTAGTATGACTCGAATGACACCTGATGATTTTGAAGTGCTTTTCAATATTGTTGGTCCACATCTCAAGAAGGTTAGCAGAAGAGAACCTCTACCACCAAGACTCCGACTAGCACTCATTTTAAAGTAAGTAATTTAGTTGTTTAAGATTTATAATACAATAATTTTAAAACAATTACCTAGAAAAAAGTAACATAATATTTAAATTATTACTTGTAAATGATTTAATAAATAATTTTACTTAAATATTCAAAATTAATTGTCTTTTAAAAGAGTTTCGTTTACAATTTTCTTAAATAAAATGAACATCAAAGGTTTTAATTTTTAATGAATTTAATTAGAAATTTTAATGAACTTAGATTTGTGAAAAATATTAATAATTCAAATTCTTCTGAAATTAAATATATTTTTAATAGGCATATATTTAATTAATTATTAAAAATAATGGATTTATAAAAGGATTTTAGTTAAAAACACTAAAAAATGTATTTTGGAGATATTGCAAATAATTACAGAAATTCAATAATTTTAAAAAATTTTCCTGAATTAACTGACTTTTAATATATATGTATACCATTTTAATAACATTTTCTAAAAGAATTCAGTTATTTAAAAAAAATTGCATTAAAGAATTTTGAAAAGTATTCAATTTGAAAAATTTTGAAATTGAAAAGTTTCAGGATATTTGAAATTGATTTAAAAAAATTTTTGTTAAAAATTAAAGTAAATAACAATTGGACTGAATAATAATGCAGAAATTTTTTTAACATTTATGGTGCTGACGACCCTGCTGGAAGTAAAGAGATACAAAGAGATTAAAAAAAGTGGATAAAAAAGATTAGAAGGTATAATAGTTTGGAGATGCAAAATGGATACTTAAAAGAGATACAAATTGTTTATCTCTTTCTATAACCTTATATTTATATCTCTTTTTATCCCTTCTAATCTTTTTATCATTTATTTATATTTATATTTTTATCATTTAAAAAATGATTTTTTTCATAATTTCGAAAATCGTATCGACGAAAGGTTTTTTGGAATCTAATATCTATTCATACAAAGTGTTTTTATATTATTTATAATATAACTTTTTTATTTATTTTTACGGAAATAACAAAAACAAAATTTATTCACCCATAAAAGCCGGACAAGGTTTTAATGTTGCTTCCTCATAAAGGAAGCCTTATAGTGATGTCGATTTCCGAATTTTTTAGAACCAATTATTTTTACAAATTTTCAAGTGTAGTATATATAATTCGTCGAGAGGAACAAATGTCCGGATGTATGTGTGTATGTATGTGTGTGTGTGTGTATGTGTGTGTGTGTGTGTGTGTGTGTGTGTGTGTGTGTGTGAATGTCACCGATTCTTGTGGACAAATTTTCTCTTACACGTATTGACGGATTTTGATAAAATTTTGTAGGTGTATTACGGTCACGAATACCAAAAATCAGACAAAAGGATTTTCAAAAATATCTAAAAAAAAAATTTTTTTTCAACAATTTTTTAATTTTTGAAAAAATAATTTTTGGATTTTTTGAAGTAACTTTTTTCTATATTAAAATTTTTATTAATTCTTGTCAAAATTGCATTCCTGACATAAAAACGAATCGATTCATGTATATAAAGTATATATTTTATCAAAATTTATAGAATTAATAAATATTTTAAATTTTCACAAAAAATTGAAATTTTGTATTTTTTGACATTTTATCTTAACACTTTAAAATAATTATTCTAAAATAAAAAATTAAACAATTGGTATATATTATATTGAGGAAGCTTAATGATCATGAAATGAACAACTTGTTTTTTTTTGTTTTAGCTATTTGGCAAATGGAGACAGTGTAAGAACAACCCAACACTTATTCAGGGTAGGGCGTTCGACGATTTACAAAATGGTGCATGAAGTATGTGAAGTCATTTTTGGTCAATTATCTCCATGGTACTTACGTGAAAGAACTACTCAAGAATGGCGAATAATATCTGAAAGTTTTCGAGTAAAGTGGAATTTGCCCCACTGTGTAGGAGCTTTGGATGGCAAAGAGTTTGCCATAAATAAACCACCACACAGTGGAAGTCTTTACTACAACTATAAAAAATTCTTCAGTATTAAGCTATTAGCAATTTGCGATGCTTACTGTCGCTTTACGTGGGTCGATATAGGAAATTATGGTAAACAGATATAAAAATATAGTAATAAAAAATTCAAAAAAGCATGACTCCGATTCAAATTGATTCCAATTCACATTTCACTGTAATGTCACATGTAATGCTACACTGTAAAAAAATTAGGTTTTTATACGACAAAATAGAAACAAAAAAACTAGGTTTTTTATGAAAAAAATTGAAACCGCGTAAAAACAGAAATTTATAATTTTTAAATAATCCTAGTTCTGCGGCGATAGCGAAAATTTCATAAATTAATGGGTAACACCACTTTAAAGGCAGAAATGGAGACCAATTCTTCATGATTAGTTTTGAGAAAATTTAAAAAGGAATAGGCTTTCTTTTTAGAGGGTTTGTTATTCCATTTTATTATTATTATTCTATTCTATTTTCGTTGATTTTATATCAATCAATCTGTTAGAATCTTTGTCGGCGATAGACGGCCTTTTTTTACTTGAAAGAAATTTGAATTTACTATTAAAATACTACTCAATATATGGTGAAAATTTTAAAGTTATAATTTTTCATGGCTCTTCAAAAAACCCCTGAAAACACTTAAAAACAAAGTCATCACATTGTATGACCCCTTTAGCTCTCAGTAGAGTTGTACTTTCACACCCAACAGTTCATTCTTTTTCTTTTTACTTCAAAAGCATGTGAATTTTATAGAATCCTGTTTGAAGATATATTTTAACTCCTTTTTTACAGTGCTATTAACATTACATGTAACATTACAGTAATATTACGTAGCTATTTTGGTCGACTTGACAACAAAAGCAGTAATTAATGTTTATATGCGTTTTAGGTTCTGTAAGCGATTTATCGGCATGGAGGAATACTGATTTTTACAAGGCTCTACTTCAAGATCTGATTCCTCTGCCTCCAAAACGTACTTTACCAAGGTCTACAATTGTAATGCCATATTTTTTCATAGGAGACGAAATTTTTACACAGCGTTATTCTTTTTTGATGTCTCCCATTCCCCGCCGCCGTGTTCTCAGTGATGAACAGAAATATTATAATTATAGGTATGTACATACATACAAACAGCTTATACCATTTAAACAAAAACTTTTAAGAAATTCATTTCATATATTATAATTTATGGTAGATTATCGAGGGCAAGGCAAACAATCGAAGCAGCTTTCGGTTTATTGGTATCCATGTGGCAAATATTCCAGCATCCACTAAGATTCAAGCTAGAGACGTGTATGATGGTTGTGTTGGCAACAATTTGTTTGCATAATTTCACAATAACAAGAAAGTTGGAACGAGAAGAAGAGGTACCTTTGCCGGAAAATCGAGAAGGTAAACAAATAATGAAATATTTTTTTTATTAATTGAATTTTTACTTGCTATTGGGATTTGAAATCACGTAAAAACGACCCATCGCTATACCTGCTTTCGGAAACCATCTTGGTTTTTTTATCTCTTTTTAACATATGCTCCAAAAAGAGATAAAAAACCAAGAAAGCTTCGAAAGCGTGTAAACACCAGATGGCCTATCGTAGAATTTCAGATTCCAATATGGTTCGGAAAAGGTTAAGCGGGGAATACTAAAATCTACAATAAAATATAATTATCTTTCTACATAAAACATAATTTTAAAACATTTTATTATTTAGAACCTGATGAAGAGGAAGTTGAAAACGAGGAAGTGGAAGAAGTCAACAATATCGATGTACAACATGAGATCCCTCAAAATGTTAGGCAACAAATTGATTTTTTTGTTGCTTATCTGAATTCCGATGCTGGCCGCTTGTTCTAATTTTTTCTATATATTTTATTGAAAAAGACAGTAATTTCGAGGGCAGTTACACTTCATTGATCAGTTTTAATACTGCATTTAAAAAATATTTTCTTAAGGAACTGGTGGAATTTTATGTTCCTTCAATGAATATTTTGACCAAGTTCGATGATAAGTTGCGTTTAAAAACTCTTAATTTATTGGCTCACGTGTTAATTTAGAAAATCTTGCTTCTCATCTTCGGCGAAATGAAATGAAATTGGATAAAAATATAGCAAATAAGGATTTACCTATTTCGATAATTGGTTAAGTATATTTTATCAATTTTTTTATCTCTATAATTTTTACTCAATTTTAATCTTTAAAAATTTAGATTGATTAATAATTTAATTATTATTTATTGCAACATTAACCTCAATGTTAAATTTCTCAAAATAATGAATAATACATCTAAATTGTTTCTATCAATTATAAATTTAATTAATTAAAAGTAAAAAAAAAATTTTAATTGAATTTTGAATTAATAGTAAATTAATTATAGTTTTCATTGACTTACATATTCAGTTACTAGGGTAAAAGTGGGTATTATCGCGGTATTTTGTATTTTAATTAATATTTCAAATAATATAAGGATTCTTGACTTTAAAAAAATTACTCATTGAATCTGACACCTAAGGAATATAATTTATATCATATGTTGATTATTTTCCTATTACTTAATGTATTAAAAAAAGTTTTAAAAATTGTTATCTGAAAATGGCTAAAAATTCTCCATTTTCATTTGAGATTCAACTCTACAGTGGTGTCAAAAATGGTTTTATTTATGTTATATAATATTATAAAAGATGATTTTCCTTTTATATTTCGTTAAATATATTGTTATTTTTCATTAAAAAAAATAGTTTTGTTAAAAAAAGTTTATATTTATTTTATATTTACGTCCACGAGAATGAATACAGTTTTTTGTGAATGAGAGGGTATTATCGCGGTTTATTTTTTATTCGAAACTGTCATCATAACCCTTACAATAAAGGTTAATAGTTAAAAGTGATAGTATAAAGAAAAAAATAAAAAGTACCAAATGGGTAAGAATAAAAAATCAAGAAATAAAAAAGTTAGTAAAATAAAGCAGGGGAGATCAATTTATTCAAGAGAAAATCTTTTAATGGCGGTAAATGAAGCACAGGAAGGAAAGTCTATTGCGGAACTATCAAGAAAATATAATGTCCCAGAATCTACAATCAGATCAAGAAAATTAGGTAAATGTGCAGATAAAAAACCAGGACCTCCCACTGTATTGAGCGCAGAAGAAGAAACAGAGCTCGTGAAATGGATATTTCATTGTAGTAAAGTTGGATTTCCGGTTACGAAACAGCAATTGATTGATAGCGTGCAAATGATTTGTAATAAGAAGAATATAACGACTATATTTACTAATAACAAACCTGGACGAACTTGGTTTGAAGGATTTTTAAAACGTCATCCGACTCTTTCTCAAAGAATATCTGAAAATGTATCAATTAGTCGAGCTGCAGTATCTGAACAAAATATAAGAAATTGGTTCCTTGAAATAGAAAATTATTTATGCGAAGAGAATCTATTGGAAATAGGACCTGATCGAATTTTTAATGCTGATGAGACAGGAGTTCCTTTGAATCCAAAACCGCCACCAGTCCTTGCTCCAAAAGGCAGTAAAAACGTGTTTACCAAAAATATTGCTAAAGTTGCACCTGCTGAGTACGGATTTGGATTCTCAGATAACGGATGGATGACAGCAAAGAATTTTTATGAGTATATTGCAAACGTTTTTGAACCATGGCTAGAAAGAAATTTTGTATTGAGGCCAGTTATTTTGTACATTGACGGTCATTCTTCACATATAACGTTACCTTTGAGTAAATTTTGTCAAGAAAAGCAAATCGTTCTAATTGCTTTATACCCAAATTCTACGCATATTTTGCAGCCCCTAGACGTTTCATTCTTCAACACTTTCAAAGTAAATTGGCAAAAAACATGAAAAGGCTTTTGTGAACGAATTGCCAATATCACTATAAAAAAATTCCAGTTTGCCTCAGTACTTAAAACAACTTTAGACAATATGAATGTGAAACAAATTTTACCAAATGGCTTTAGAGTGTGTGGTTTATATCCTCTAAACTGTGATGCTGTAGACTTTTCAAAAGTTTTTAAGAAAATACTTACTCCTACGTATCAAAATGAAAACAATTCTGAAACTCAAAGTACTGTATGTCCTGATGAACAGGTTTTTCAACTTGTGGAGCAGAAACTAGATCCGTATTTATTAGAATTATTCAAAAGTAATGAAAACATAAACTGGACAGGAAGACTCGAAGATACAAGCTTATTTGAATTTTGGTTGAAATTAAAAAATTCCTCAGTTTTGAACGTAGAAACCATTGACCAAGACCACACTTCCAATCATGATGATATAATGGTATATTATTAATAAAATGTTTTTTCTATTTATATTAATGATTAAATAAATTTAATGTTCCTGTCCTTTCATTTTAAATTCCTGTTCCTTTCAGGCCGACAATTTGATTTCTGCTTCAACTTCATCCCGTAATGCTGATTTTGACGATGAAAGTGTTCAAAACATGGACATTCAACAAGATTTAATACTCGAAGATCGAGAAATATTAAATGACCAGGAACGAAGTTCCTTTCAGGCCGACAATTTGATTTCTGCTTCAACTTCATCCCGTAATGCTGATTTTAACGATGGAAGTGCTCAAAACATGGACATTCAACTCGAAGATCGAGAAATATTAAATGACCAAGAACGAATCATAATGAAGATGGTGCTTGATTCAGACGTGGAAGAGACAGATACGGTATTCGAGGACATTCAAATCATTCAAGAGTCAGAAAAAATATCTATGGAGCAATTTACGACCAGTTTTTCCAAAACTCAATCACTAACTGAGTTTGAAGATGAGATTGAAACGTTGACACAGCTAACCGACTGTAGTTCCCTTTTACATTTCGATACGAAGACTAATTCAGTACTTTCAGAACTTAACCGAATTGAAATCGGCGAGTCTATTATTTTAGATTTTACACATTCAGATTTTCCGCCGAATATTATTAATTCAGAAACTCATCCTGTTGAACAGAAGTCTTCTTCAAATTTAGAAATAATTATTCAGTTCCAAAATAAAGAAACAATTATTTCACAACCAATAAGCGTATTGGGTGAAGAGATTTTAAAATTCCCAGCTCAATCTGATCAGATGTTAGAAAACTCTTCTTCGACTCCTTCAACCTCTCTAAAAGATGTCACAAATAATATTGAAGCTGATATTTCAAAATCTGAAATAAATTTTAAAACTCTTTTGCATTATCCGGAATTAGATTTGAAAGTACAAAAGAAAAAGCGTGCAAACAGCGGACTAAAAATACCTTCAGTTCTGTCTAGTCCTCAATGGCAAGAAATTGCACGAGAGAAAGAAAATTTAAAACTTAAAAAGTTAGAAGAATTAGAGTTAAAAAGAATAATTAGACGAGAAAAGCAAGAAAAAACAAAAATTGACAAAGAAAATAAGCGCGTGAAAAGAGAAGAACGGAACTATGAAAAAGAGCAAACACGTTTACAAAAAGAAAAAGAAAAATTTTTAAAGCAACAACAAAAAATTAAAAATTTAGAAGCTAAAGCACTCTCCAAAGAAGAATTATTATTAACGAAACGAGAAGCCGTTGAACTGAGAAAACAAATAGAGGACATGCAAGCGAAAGAAGCTGAACTGTTAAAAGAAAATTGACTGGAAAAGACAGAACCAAAAAAAAATATTATTTTATATTTATTAAATTATTATAAAAAATTATGTACCCGTTTGTGATATTAATTAAAAGAAATAACATTATTAAATAGATACGAATTCGTGCTTTATTTATAAACTTGATTTTAATTAATTTTTCTTCTAAATATTTTATAAATCATTTTTTGCAGTTAGAATATTTTAAATATGCATCTATTACTAAAATCAAATAAACAATAGCTTATTTTAGCCATCCACGATATTTGACACGCGAAAATACACACATCCGCGATATTTGACACGCGAAAATACCCTCAAGCCATTACAAGTCCCGCGAAATTACAAGCAAAGGAGTCTTCTATTTAATCATTTATTTAACGATTAAAACTATTTTCTATAACATTGGCAATTTTTTTTTAAAGAAAAGAAAGCTTAAATATTCATTTAAAATAAAAAACAAAGCCATATACATTCATTTATAATTTTTAAACCACTTGGATGTATGACGTATTCAAAATTCCTCGATAATACCCACATTTACCCTAATGAAAATTTAAACGATTCTAAATTTAATTTATCCAAATACCAATTAATATTTATTTATAGTACTATTTGAATCAAACAATGTAATCAAATTATTAAGAAAAATTAAAACAAGCGTTGGGCGATTTTTTCATCTACCAATTTCTTCAATTTCAAAAAGCAATCCTTTCTTTTTTCTTCAGGAACTTTTTTCCAATAATCTTTAATGACGAAAAAATAATCATTGACAGCTTCAAATCGTCTAAGATCTGTTTCTGTGTCAGATTGATTTCTTTGACCTGAAAAATATTAAATTTATTAATTTATTTATTACTTGCTATTATTTTCTATTAATTTTCAAAATAAATTAATAATTTTCCATCTTAAATAATAAAAATAAAAAAATTGTTACCACAATCAATTGTTACCTTCTTCAATTTGTCGTAGTTCATTATTATCATCTTCGCCACTACAAGAATGACAATTCTCATCATCAATAATTTCACAATCCTCCATATTTTGAAAATTATCATCAATTAATTCAATGTCTCCAGCGGAGTCATCGTCCATTTGTTGGCAGGGCAAATGATAAGTTGCCAAAGTTCTAAATAAAAAACGGATAAATTAGTCTTTAATCTTTCCAGAAATTTAAATCACAAACATAATCTTCCAAGTCTGACTCCAAAAAAAAAATTATATCGGACTTTAAAGCACTTTCAAAACCCAAATTAAAATTTTTTTCAAATTCCTTCGTTTAAATATGAGATAAAGTAAACTACTAACAGTATCTATATCGTTTTATGACTTTTGATGATCTGGTACTAATTTATTATGTCCATGGAAAATAACATTTTTGTAAGGACTCTTGGATCAAGTTTTTATATCATTAAAAATTATTAATGTCTTCCATAAAGAAACTAACAATTTTTCTTTAAATAATGAAAAAATATGCGAAAGACCCGAATTTCAAATTAAACTCCTATTGAAAACTAGATCGAAGCTTTTCAAAAGCTTTCAGTGAAAGGTTACAGCTTTCTCGAGACTACAGTAAATCCTTTCCTTGAGATTTCAGAGGAAAATTCATTGAGGCGGACATTTAGGTAAACTATTTTTTTGTATAATAAATGAGTTCAGATTCTTGACTTTGCAAATAAATTATATAAATTAACAATTTTTAAAATATGATTTGATAAAAGATTATAATAATATTATAATTTATACATACACGGGTGGTTCATTGCACTTTTTAACAAAGTCCATGATTGTAACATATGGAAACGATGAAGTTGACTCATTTTCTGGGGTTGCCGATCCTGATGGAATATATTCCTTATGAGTTGCATTATAATATTGTGTCCTTAGGAGATGCCACATATTCTGGATTTCTGTTACTAATAGTTGATAAATAAGAATATTACTAAAACCGTTGCAAAGTTAAAATTGAAATTTTTGTGTTCACTTCATGAACACTTTGCTTTTCTATTAAAACTTTATTTTTTAAATAATATAAATTGCATTATTCCCGTAAAGTATTGTAATAAAATATCAAAACTCACAAAAATTAATTTTTTGAAAATTTCTATTTTTTAATATTTTATTGTAAATCAACATAGTTTTAGAAAAAAAATGAATTTTTCGGTTTTAATCCTCATTACTTCTATAAATACTCATACAAAATATACTTTATATAGACCAATAGATTCGTCTTGATACTCTTGTAAAAATTGAAATATTTATAAAGAAATGGAATTTGAAAATTGTCACAAAACAATGATTTTATGAAGAAGCAATAATAATATCATACAAAAAATAATTAATTTATAATTTCTTGTTTTTGGTAAGATTTAAAAAATGTTAACCTGAATATTCTTTTTGTGTAACCAAGTACATCTCTGACGCTATTTCATTCCATGTTTTTCTTTTTTTAGTCACATCTCTAAAATCTTCTCTTTCTCTATCATAAATTATTGGGCACTGTTCAACTAAATTAATTAAAATTTCCTTTGGATCAACACTTTGAGCTTCTGCCATTTTTAATTGTTTTAAATGAATATCAATTGAAAGCTGTTCAAATTAATAAACGTTTAATTATTTTTATTTTAATACATGAAGTTAGTTTTAAATTAATATTCCCTTGTTTTTATTTTTGTTTCATTGAATAAACAAAATATGATAAAAGGTTAATAAAAAATATCAATTAGTGAAGAAGTGTGCACTTGGATCATAAATAGGAATCAAAGATAAATAATAACAAAATGAACCTACACACTGATGAACATAAATTAATTGATATAGTGCGTTCTAACCCCTGGATTTACGAATCAGAATTTCACCAGACCTACAAAGAAAAGGAGAAAACTGCTAAGTGGAATATAATTAATGAGCAACTATGGGCAATGGGAGTCCAAATTGAAGGTAAGTTTTATTTATTTTCTAAATTTAATTTAATAAGATTTCACTATAATGAAATAATTATATTTAAATTAGTTAAATTAGTTAAAGAAATTTAATACAACAAAAATTCTTAATTTAAAAACATGTTTATTCGGCGTGTAAAATTTTATTTAAAAAATAATAAAAATAATTTGTTGCAGATCCGAGGAAATGTTGGAAAAATTTAAGAGAAACTTTTACACGCTACGATAAAAAAGATAATAGGAACTGGTACTTATATGACTATTTATCCTTCTTGAAGCCTCATATTAAACACAGAAGGTATATTTTCTTTCAAATAAAATAAACTATATTAAGCTCTTTTTCAATTCTTTATTTATTTACTTATGGAGTGAACTCAAAATATGTGGATAAAATTTTTTTAAGATATATCATCTAAATTATTTTTTTTGGAAATTGATTTTGAAACTATAAATGTATAATTGATTTCACCTGGAATACAAAATAGTATATTTTTATTGTACTAAAGATAATAATATTACATATAGGTACAACTATAAATCTTTAACAAAATAAAATATTAATAGCAAATTAAAATAAATAATCTGCTATAGTAGCTTCAAATAACTTACTATAAGAATAATTTTTAAATAATTTCTTTATCATTCTAAAAATAATTTTAATGCAGTTTTCATTCAAGTTTTATTAAAATTAAAGTTTTTAAAATTTGTTCGTTAACATTAGAAACATTATACATTTTTGAAATAATAAAATTTAACTGCTAAGAATTTAATTTTAAGTCTGTAAATAAAAAATAAATCAAACAAATAATAATTTTCCTATAGGATCATTGGAAAGACGCCTAAAAACAATGAAATGATCACTTGTATATTGTATTATTATTATTATTATTATTTTTTGCTTAGGGACTTTTGGGAAATCTGCCTACAGATACCTTGGATTCCGCACTCCAAGGTTATGTGGGGTTGGTATGATAAAAAAAACAAAAGGAAATATAAAAAAAAGAAGAATAAATAAATGTTATAATAAATTTAACAAACTGGCGACCTACTACCAGCCCGACCCACTAAAACCCGTAACCCTTCTTTTGGAGCCCTTTACCCTCCCTCGGAACTGTCGTAAGACTTTAGCCTTCGAGGGTGGCGCTCCAACTCTGTCGCTAATGCGACTTTCTGCTTTACTCTGCGGTCATCCTGCGTTAATAGTTAAAAATTCAAAACTATTTCAATATAAAAGCGGAATTAACAGCACAACAATAATAAAAAAAAATGTTTAATTAAGTGTAAACAGTCAAAAGATAAAATTGCAAACGGATATATAAAAAAAAGAAAAAAAAATAAACGCGTATATAATATTAGAAACATAAAACGGAATATATTAAAATTGTATAAGGACAAATAAATCACAAAATAAATTAACAAAAAACAAACCAAACAAATTAAAAGCTGTTTAAATTACGCTTTTTTGGCGGCCGTCGAGATCTTTCCTCGACATAACCGAGATTATGAAGTTCTCGACTTGCCGCCAATTCTCTTCTGACTGGGTCATCAGCGATACCATGTTCTCTTCGCCTTATCCTGATACCAAGGTGCGAGGTCGCTTCCTTGATACTGCTCACTGCAGAACAGGATATTGACCTCATTTTCCCTAGCTGTTTGCATCAGGAGCACCTGTGCATCCTTACTTGTATGCAGGTTGACTTAAAGGAGCTTTAGGGATTTGCCCTTTTAAGTTTCTCCAGTTCCTCCTTGTAAACCGGGCAGGAAATTCTTCCAGGGATATGGTTGACTTCCGTTTTTCCCAAATCTGTACACGTTATGCACTTTGGCTTGTCACTAGTACACTTTTTGGAGAAGTGTCCCGCTTCGCCGCATCTCCGACAGTTTTTTGTTCTGTCAGGGCCCTTGCAAATTCGGGTCACGTGTCCATAGGCTAGGCACTTTTGACATCTTGTCACTTCTAAGTGCGTTCGGATGGATGCGTTTATCCAACCAATACGCACTTTGCCTAGCTTAAGCAGACTCTCGCTGTCCGTTTCACTCAAGCGTACTAGTCCCACTTTCGTACCACCAAAACGTGTCAGAAGTCGGCAAGTCACATCTAATTCGGGCTTTTGCAACTTCTGCTTTAAGACGGTTAAAACGTCCTCTTCTGAAGTTGTTTCGTCAAGTTCCCGAATTTCGAGGGTCTTTTTACTGACAAGAGCCGTAACCTCGGCCTTGTCCTGAAGAACGGAGGTAAGATTCTGAGCGAACTTTGAAGTTTCGCCCCCCTTTTTTACCACAACGAGAACCTCCTTTTTAAGAGTTCTCCTAATTTTCACAATCTCTGTGCCAGTTTCCTCTGGCTTTACCGAAGTTGTTGCCAGTTTTATAAGATCATAGTAGGTCTCTGGATTCCGGGCCAAAATTTTTATTGCCTCCGTTGTTCTAATTTTGGGGGGGGGGCGCTTCTGAAGTCGCTCCCTCTCCTCCGCTTTCTTCAAGGCCTTTCTCTTACGGGCCTCCCGTTTCCTATTGGAGACGGTTTCAAAGTCTTTTTCGTTTTCAGGCTTATTTTCCACAGTTGCCTCCGAATAAGAAGCAACCCTGGCCGAAGCAGCCTTACTCACCTCCGTCTCCATAACAGTAGGGTTTTCCTTGGTCTCCTTGCTCTTAACCCTCTTACCCTTGGGAGTGGTCACAGTAGAATCAGTCTCCGGACCTTCATACTCTCTAGGGCGCTTCTTTGGGTCGATGGGCTTGCTCTCGCCAGATGTGGCGTGAGACATCGATCTAGGAATTTCAGGATTCGACTTTGGTTTGCTTGGGCTAATGAAGGGCCTAGGTATAAAACGCAGGTTACAGCGAAGCACCTCGTGCACCTTCCCCAATTCCACCATTCCATCCTGAACATCCTTGCTAATGTTTCTTTGTTTCCTGCAAGCACGCCACATGCTGTCAAGTATTTTTGGGATCAGATCGACCTGTTCTAAAACATTTTCTTCGAATCTGCTAAGTCCCACATCCTCAGAATTTTTGCTTTCGCTCCCTCCAAAATCCTTGGAGCCGTCTGCACCGACTACCGGGCCTTCAACCCGATCAGAATCGGTGGTGGGATTACCCTCTACAGAGGTACCCACTTGGAGTAATTTAATTGATTCTTTATCCATTTCATCATTTTTTTTAATTCTTTGCCCCGTATCGAGGGAACGATCGAGCCTAAACAGGGTACTACCATCTGGCCAAGATGGACCCTGAACCGCCTCCGTTAGTTACATAGACGTTATAGCATTGCTGGGCACTTCGACTTCAAATCCATCCATGTCAGAACCAACACCTTCACCCAGTGTCTCGCCTGTTACCGGTTTCAATTCTCAAAATTTGTCAAAAAATTTATCTTCTACTCGAAATCTATCTGTTTTACATTCAAAAGTTTCTTAACAATCCTCTTCCTCGCCTACTGCGGCTTTTAATTTATCATATACGCAAAAAAGACCTGCTCAATCTACATCATCAGCATCGAATTCTACAACGAAGCAAAACAAAAAAATGAAGAGATCGTCCGTTCCTGCAGCTTCAAAAGTAAATCACAATCTTCCCACTCTAGCAACAAAACCGAAAACAGTTTGTAAAGTACCTCAATTGGACAAATTTGCAGTAAATAAAAAAAAGAAATTGGATTATGAAATGGAGAATGTACGTCTGTTTTGTCAGGATGCTATGAAGCTAAATGAAAAAGTCTATAAAGTATTAGAAGAACGTTTTCCTCTTTCCAGAATTTAAATAAAATATTTAGAAAATTATGTTTTAACTTTTATTACATTAAACTTGTTACAACAATTTTTCTCAAATGAAATTCCCTGACTTTTCTAGTTTTCACATGTCTCAAATAATATTTTCCCATTTACATTAAAAGTTTGATTTATATAAAAAGTAATTAATTAAAAAGCAAAATTTATAAAAACATAGAATTTTTTATTGCTATATTAATCATTTATAGAAAAATATCTCAGTTTTCAACATTTTTTCGTTGGTATTTTAAAAATTATTCATTTGTGACATGAAATCGATGTAAAACGTATGTATTTAAGATACTTTATTGCGGTCTGTTTTTGTAACACGATTTAAAAAATAAAAGTAAGTAATTTAATTTCGAAAATATAAAAACTAATAGTTTTTATATGACTTTTAACTGTCCATCAATTAGAATAACCTCTTCTATTAATCGGCTTTTCTTTGCAGTCAATTCCCTTAACAAGGATTTTCCAGGTGTTTTTTCATTTTTTCTTACTTTTCAATACAAAATAAAATTCACTGACATTTCCAGGTTTCGAGACATTGTAGCAACCCTGATTGAAATAAAAAGTAAATAATAAATTAATAACAGGTAAAACAGTATTATAACCTTTGACTGTTATATGCTAAATAAAAAATATTAGAAACTACATCTGCTGAAAATTTATATAATTTTTTATGCACGTAATTTAAAACATTTTTTTAATATTATTTATTTATTACTTAAATTACTTACCGTGTGTAATTTAAATGCTGATTGAAGTTTATGAATACCGAATAAATTAATATTAAACTGTATAATTTTATTTTTATTGTTCCTTTTTTTACCGAAGCAATTTAATACTTCAAAATTGACAGACACTAAAATTTAAATACTGAAAATAAATTTGAAATTGAAATATAAATAATTATTTTCTACACAGAACGATTTGTTTTACACATCTGTCAAACACGTGCTGTGAGCATGTCACGTTAACGAAATGTAAACGTTACGTTCACGTTAGTCGTCCGATTTATCAATTGTGGACTCAACCTCAGCCCTGACTCATGCGTCGTTTTACGTCATATCGCACAGAACACAAACGCGTGAGACAAACAACAAATTACTTTACACATTTTTACTTATCATCTTAATGAACAATTTTTGTAAACTTATTTTGTCTTAGGCATATTTCTTCTACATTTAGTTCTCTTCTTTTGACACCACAAAAAAGTTTTTGTTGACCCCATATCACAGGTTCGCACAATACTCAAATATACGTTCGTTTACACTACCGTCCACGAGTATCAGGACGATTACACGCGACTCTATGAAAAAAATGCCGTCGCTTTTTTAATCATGTCTCGAAAATAAAAGGAGATACAAAAACAACTTAAATACGGTTAGAAAGCTGATTAAAAAATTTTGGTCTACGTTTCATAATTATCTTTATAAATTGAAAAATTATATTAAAATTCGTCGGAAAAAATTAATTATTTAAAAATTTGTTGATTAAATTATGTGTAAGAATTCAGTTTTAAGAAACATTCAGTTATTCAATAAATTATCTATGTTTGTATTAAAATAATTAATTAACATGAAGAAATTGATCACACCGAGTCGAAGACTCGGAGTGGTCCATTTATTCTTCATGTTTTTATTATAATATTTATATACCTAAGTTATTGAATTTCAAAAGAATTGAATTTTAAATTTTTGAAAATCTTAACTCCTTCGGAAAAATAATAATAAAATATTTATTTAAAAATGAAGTTATTGGTGTTTTTGAATAATTTGACAATTAAAGACAATCGTAAATAAATTGTAATAGAACATTTTTTTTAGTAAGTATCTAATAATTTTTAGAATGAATCAGAATAATTTTTAGGCTCAGGGAAAAAGTCTTAATTTGGTCTGGAAATCAGGGAAAAGTCAAGGAAGAATACCCTAAACATTCTAATTTTAAAAAATTTTAATGAAATTTTAAAAAAATTAATTTTTGGCAATAAAGTTCTACAAACTCTAAATTATTAAAAAACTTTCTAATTATATACTTAAAAAATTAATTTATTTTAGAAAAAGTAATTAAAATTAGGTACATTTTGCTTCCTTATAAAGGAAGCTTTGTATTTGCAAAATTTTGGATTGTCATTTTTTGACATATTAGTACTTTATATATGCACAGGAACTTCACGTATAAATGTTTTAAATAAATAAATGAAAATTTCTATGTAATTTGAGCTCAGAAGTCCAAAAAATGTATTTAAAAAAATTGTCCGGTTTAACTAATTTTTTTTTGCATTTTTAATTTTACAAAAAACGTTTTTTGACCATAACTTTGGAAAAATGTTAGGACACCTATAAATGTTTTTCTTTAGTTTTGTAGAGTTTTTTCAAACACATCTATAATTTCCAACTTGTAGAGCATTAAAAAACGCTTCGATTGACCTATTTGTCAACTTGATTCGACTAGAAATTACGAAATTATTGGTATTTTAAAAATAAAAAAAAATTGTCGAAAATAACATTTTTAAAATTTTTTTTAATTAAGAGTTTTTCAATATTACTTAACAAATTATTTGTTTTTAATCCATATTACTTATAACAAAAGAAATATAAACAATTACACTACCGTCCAAAAGTATCAGGACGATTACATTCGACTCTATGAAAAAACATGCCATCACTTTTTCAATAATATCTCGGAAATAAAAGGAGGTACAAAAAAAAACTTAAATACGGTTAGAAAGCCGATTAAATTCTGCGTAAAATAAGCCGTCTTTGAAGTCATTTCGTTAATTATTTTTTGAGTTGTAGAGAGATAAAGAAATAAAAAAAATTTTCTCATTTTTGTCTCTTGACTTCAACTTTTTCAAAAATCTAGAAAAATTTAGATAAAATTTTTCTAAAAACGCACAAATCTTCGTTAGAATTTTAGCTTTAAAATAAGCCTTCGAAAATTAAAAAAGGTTAATCCGTCTTTAATATATCATTGAAAATTTTGAAGCCGTGTTTCGACCGATTGGTGCATTGAAATCATTGAAATTCAACTGTGACGACTTGATTGTGGATACGCGCGGCAGCGAATGACAGAGAAAACAGGAACGAATTCATGCGGGGAAACAATTAACTTTTGAGTTTCTTTATATTACTTGTGAAACATCATTATTTATTATTCTCCAGCAAAAATTCGTCCCTGTTTTCTCTCATTCGCTGCCGCGCGAAGCCAGAATCGAGTCGTCACAGTTGAATTTCAATGCACCAATCGGTCGAAACACAGCTTCACATTTTTAATGATATATCGAAGAAAGATTAATCTTTTTTAATTTTCGAAGACTTATTTTAAAGCTGAAGTTCTAACGAAGATGTCTGTGTTTTTAGAAAAATTTTATCTAAAATTTTATAGATTTTTTAAAAAGTTGAAGTCAAGAGACAAAAATGAGAAAATTTGATAATTTTTTTTATTTCTTTCTCACTCTACAACTTAAAAAATAATTAACGAAATGACTTCAAAGACGGCTTATTTTACGCAGAATTTAATCAGCTTTCTAACCGTATTTAAGTTTTTTTTGTACCTCCTTTTATTTCCGAAATATTATTGAAAAAGTGATAGCATGTTTTTTCATAGAGTCGAATGTAATCGTCCTGATACTTTTGGACGGTAGTGTATATATACTTGAAGAAAAAAAAATTACAAAAACATGAAACGCGTTTTTCTCGAAAACACAATTTTTAAAACAGAGAGATACTTTTCTATTAATCTAGGGAACTGATATTAAACAATTAAAATTAATTGTATTTCATTTAATTTGAATTGTATAATATTGAAAATAAAAATAAGTTTCTTGCTATTTAATTTCTATCTGCTATTTAAACAGTGTCAGAAAATTATATCGAAACATAGGGTTATAAATCGTACGCCATATGAAGCTACGCTAAGTCCAATAAAATGTGGATTAGTTAGTATTAATTTACCAAGAAACGTAGCGGATTCATTGGATACTGAAGAAGATTTGGAAGAAGCTCTAAAACAATTGAATGGAATTGATGAGAAAGAAAATATTATGGTGGACGTGGAAAACTCTCCTATTGATGAAAAAATTGACGTGGAGGAACAACCTTCGAAAAATGTAAATACTTGCAATAATCCTCTACCCTGTGGAAGTTGTGGCTTGGAATTAAATATTAATAATTCTGCTTTATGCACCAAGTGCAACCTACACATGCATATTAATTGTGGCGTTTTAGATTTAACAACTGAAAACAGCCTTATGTGTTCTTCATGTGCTAAGGGAATGACGATTGTTGACAGTCAACAGGATTGCTAAGAAAGACAACAAATTGTAGCTAAGAAAATGCAAACGTTTTCTCAAGAGAAATTTCCCTCCTTGATAATTGGAGATTGCATCACGCTATTAGTTTTCTTCTGTTGACCGAGGACCCCTTGACTTTGCAAATATATTGGAGTTATTATGGACATTAAAAATGGTGTCCATCAAATTGGAACGGAGAGTGTCATACTTAAAGGTTATTTTTTTAATTACATTATTTTCAATTATAATGATTTTAATTTTTATTATTAATTAAAATTTTCTTTAATTAAATTCTTTTTAAATTAAAATTTTATTATTAATTAAATGTTTTATAAAACATTTAATTTTTAAATTATTCAAAGTTATTTTATAACATAATTTTGCAATTACATTTAATTTTTTATTAAAGGCTGGTTTCCGAGAACCGACATTAAAAAATCTGGAACCGTTAAGATTGGACTTGGTTATGTTAACAGAGATGATATTTTAACTTTGAGAAGGGCAGCATCTCGGCAGTCCATGTGTGGAGGACTCGGTTACAAAAAGTGTAACTGCACAGCAGCTTCCAACCAATGTCAAAATAATCTGTTTTAAATTATAATGCAATTCTCGATGTCACCAATCTACATCTTGTTGGAACAAATGAAATAAAATTCAAATTAACGCTGACAATAAATAAATAATGTTTACAAAACTTGTTTATAAATCGATGCTTACACTGCGTTATATAATACACGTCAAATTTTCTATTTGCCAGAGGCCATTTTGGCAAGTAGCTTAATAACGAGGAAATAAGCTTAATTACTGATTGACTCCAGGCAAATAGAAGAATACACATCTTCCACATGTCCATTCTTCTATTTGTCAAAATTTAGCGTAATTCCTAGGCATTAAGCTACTTGCCTACGACATATACATTGAACCACTTCAATTTTATGAGAAATGACTGATTGAAATTTTTCTTATTTAATATATGAGGTAGAATTACCGAAACAGACTATGTCGAAAAATTTTCGGCACGTAGGTTTATTATTTACAAAGAAAAACTAAAAAAACTGTCTTTCACGTACAAAACAAAAAATTTGGTGGAAGTCTAATGACGTTTTCTGTTGAAATAGGAAGTTTCAAAAAAGAGTAAACTTGTGATTTATTTTGCTTTGGGTGTCAACTTCCACCAAAAATTTGGTGGAAGTCTAATGACGTTTTTTGTTGAAATAGGAAGTTTCAAAAATGAGTAAACTTGTGATTTATTTCGCTTTGGGTGTCAACTTCAATGTGATAAAGAATTTTAAATCTTACATAAATGGCATACGGGGGTAAGTAGGTAAAATTTGCCCCGCTTGAAATCGGTTCAAATTAATTCCACATATTACCACCAACATGAGTAACAATTCCTATAAATATGAACTTAAAATTTGATTTTTTGGGGGAGTTATGGAGGGGGAAAGCAAAATCGAAAAACTCATTTTTCTCGAAAACTACTAAACCGAATTCAATGAAATTTCAACATTTTTTTTTGAGGTCAATTTTTTGAAGTTACACCAACTTAAAATTTCTTTGGATTTGATTTTGTACAAAAACCGTAAGTCGTACTGAAAAATTTCTTAAATAAAAGTTGTAGAGAACAAATTTCTATACATTTTATCTCATTGGGCCCCTACTGTACAACTTAATGTGCGAAAGCTAGAGGGCGCCAAAATTGCAAAGAATCAGTTTGTCCCGTTTTTCGTATCAAAAAAACTATTTTTGCGTTTTAGTGTAAATAGAAAAGTTGTAGAGCTTAAAGGAACTTACAAAATTCATATACAGAATTTTTTCTTACGTTGCACTCTTTCGGAGGTACAATCTACTTATTAAATGTTACGTATAAGTAATCCATATAACACAGGACCACAACATTTTCTTAAAGGAAATATTGACCGGACTATATTTTTTTATGTTTTTTGAGTCGTTGAATTCGAATCCGAACTCAGATTTCCGACATCACGTCAAGTATCTTCAAAATAGCGAATACAATATGGCTGTCGAATTATTTAAAAATTTATCAGATTTACTTGAAACTTGTTACTCGAGGGTTTTTGGGATCGCTGAATACGTATTTCACCTTAGTTATTCAAAGTGGCTGACGAATTTTTAAAAAATTCATTTTTTAAAATTGGTCAGCCATATTGAATCCGCCATTTTCAATTAATAAGTTTCAGGCGAATTAGGTGAATATTAAAAAATTGACGCTATATAGGATCTGCCATTCTTATTTTTGAATATTTACGAGTTTTTTTTATTGTTTAACATTACGTAATATTTTTTCAGTGTGTTAAAGTTGTTTTTTAATAGAATCTTCTGCTTATTTCTATTTACATCTTGTTTACAGTCAGTTTCTTCGAATTTCATTAATTTGTGAAGAAACTTGACGTGACGACCTCCCCTTACAAGGGGCGCTATTGAAATTCCGCACAAGGGCGCTAAAACGGCTAAGGCCGGCACTGCACCTAATGGAAGGCTTTGTCAACCACTTATTTTGAAACGGGTTGGTTTCTGTTGTGGGAAAAGAGAGAGCCTTGCTATGGCCTCAAAAACTAAAAATTGTTTCCAAAAACTATCATAGCGACAGTTTTGAAGGAAGCACATGTCGAAAATTGTTAAGTGAGGCAGATAAACTAAATGATTTTGAAATTTATGAAAAAGTTGGATATTTGGAAATTGTTCCCTACATGTTGCCTTCAAAGCTATAGACAAAGTTGTAAACTGATGCTTTACATCGGGAAAGGTTAATGGTCCATTGGAAATTTATTTAAAAGAGTTAGAGCAAGCAATCTACAGTGTCAAAAATATTTCAATAACTCTGAAAAAAATTATTTTTTGTGTATTATATTGTATAATATAATTATAATATATATAAACATGTATAGACATACATTTCGTCACCTTAATCTGCAAACCTTGTAACTCCATTTAATGCAACTTTAAAGAAGAGCAATAAAACTGTTTATAAACATTAGATTGGATATTTAGGAAAAAGTATGGATTTTGTTAGATGTTGAGGGACTTCTTTTACATAATAATATAAAATTTTTTTAACTTACCTCTTTCTACAACTGTTTATTCTTTTAATTATGGAGTTCCGAGGTTAGTACTTGATACTAATAAAAAATTTCCGGAGTAACGAGGTTAGTACTTTGAACGAATATTAAGTCCGTAGCAGTATAAGCATGTAAGAAGTGCCCCCTCTTGTATTGGGTCTATATTTTGGGAATAATCTTGACCTAATATGAGACTTATTTTCACCAAGTTTTAACTCGAAAAAAATTTTGTTTTTGAGTTATACAATTTTTTTGAAAAATTTAAAAAAATTCAAAAATTTTTTTCCTTCAAAATGGTTGAACCGATTTTTATAAAAAAAAATTTTTTGTACAATACAATATGAACAGTTATTAAAAAAAAATTTCCGACCAAATTCTAACAAAGAAAGTCAGTAAAAAGTCAGTAAAAAAATTTTTTTTTATTCTTTTTTTAAAAAACATTTTTTTTTAAATAATAGGCATTTCAAAGTAACATATATTTTTTGCAAGATGATTGAAAGGGTACTTCATACTTTGAAAAATAAAAAACCGTTTTTTGGCCCCTAAATAGTACAGTTTTCTATATAAACGAGGGGCCAACATTTTTTAAAATTAAATTAAAAATTAATTAATACTTAAATTAGATTTCTAAAATAGTTAATAATATATGCCTGTTTATTGTAAATATTGATTTCTTAGTCAACTTTTCAAAAAAATTTACAAAAAAAAATTTTTTTTTGAAGTTTTTTCAACTTTGGCATATTTTTTAATAATTGTAGAAAAAATTTTAAATTTACATAGGTTAAAGTTTCATATTTAACTTTAGACCAAAAGAGTTTAAAAATCTTAATCGGTTCGTGAGATAACAATATATATAGAAAATATCTACTGCTTTGATTCAAAAATAATATTTGTTTGAATAATTGTGTTTAATTCAAATAAATTTCTGTTTTGGTTTTAACAAAGAATATTTTTAAAAATGTTATGATTAATAAAAATAAAATAAATAAAATAAAATAAATAAAATAAATAAAATAAATAAAATAAATAAAATAAATAAAATGAATCTGATTGAATTTTAATTTTTATTGTTTGTCATATTGGATTCTCTATTTTGAATAATCTGGCCTTTAAAATTATAATTTTCAAAAATCAAAATAAGTACTCATTGCGCTGATAAAATATTTTTAAAAATTAATCAGTCTGATTTATTTACATTTAAAATTTACAATTTTTAAAACTGACATTATATTTTAATTCTGCAGATAAGTCGTGTCACTAAAATCATCGCGTAAACAAATTTAACTGCCTTTGTTCTCGTGTTATTTACGATACTTTTTATTCCTAATGCACAAAAGTGTCGATTTAAGGAAACAGACGACAGGGAGAATAAGTTATTTACTTATTCTACTTTTATGAAGATAGCGTTCAATTTCAAACGGTCAAAAAAATGAATGATTTTACTTCCCATCGTCAGCAACTTGAAAATCGACATTTTTGTGCATGTGGGATATAAAAAGTAATTTTATAATTAAAGTTCGCATTACTGAAGATTGACTGTGTAAATGGTCTACTAAGAGCTATTCGAAATAGCTAAAACTTTTTTTTTATTTCGCAGAAAAGAAAAAATTTTAAAACTTTTACACCTTTAAACCAAAATGATTAAAAAAGGCTAATATTTTTAAGCTTAAAACTGAATTAAGTTAATTTTATAACTTAAAATAATTCTCTCAAAGCTAAAATTAATTCAAAAATGGTTGTAATTAAAACTGTTTTAAATAAAAATAAGACATACTTTTTACAGTATTGCATAGGGGAGAGGGCCCCAAGGTGGTCAGGGCCCTAAGGTGGTCACCCTAATAAAATTTTTGTATATTAGTTAGTATCTTCAAATGTTTTTTGTTATTGTTATTATTTGAGAAGACAAAGATTTTAGCATGTTTGCAACCTCAAAAAAAATTTTCAGTTTCATAATTTTAATCAAAAAACCTATATATTTATTTTATTGAAAGAAAAAAAAACATTAAAAAAAGATGTAAAAATTAATGATAAAATTTTTTAAAGATTTAAATATTATAAAAAGTATTTAATTAATTTTTTTAAGAAAAAACTACGTGGTAAAAAATTCTGAAAAAATATATGTTTCTAAAATAATATACAGAACAAACTGTCAAATTTTTATAAGTTTCTCTCATTTCCTTATATTGGCGGTGACAATCCTTAAAGAAATGAATGTTTTAGTATGAGCAGATTTGAGTATATTAAAAATTTTATTATTATGAACAAAATATTTCACACTTTCGCTGGCATTATTATGTAAAGGAACTATCAATTTTTTTTCATCTTCAATTATTAATACGTCATATCTTCTCAAACGCCGATAATCACTAGAATTTTTTTAATTTCATTTTTTGAATCGATCACTGTTTGTATTATATCATTGTACAATTTATTTTAAAAATAATTTTTCATGTCAAAAGTATTCATGATTATATTT